TTAGATATTATTCGATTAATAACTCAAATCCGGCTTTTAAATAAATTTCGCTCAACATTTACAATCCAAAAGGAAAGATACAGACTTGGAGCGTTGGGATTCTGTGATGACTGTGGAAAAGAGACCTCGGATTTGTTCTATCACTTAATAATGAATTGTCCAAATCACTCACTAGAGAGAGCATTGTATATATCCTCATCGCTACTTGAAGACACGATAAAAACAGACTTTTTAAACACATTGGAATTTCCACAAATCAACTCTGTCGAAAAATTGTACTTATTCATGAAAACCGTTCTAGAAAAAAAAATAGATTAACTACATATGTAACTATATAATTTTGTTATTTAAATTTAATACTAATACTGCGACAACCTCTTTGTATTGGCTTATTAGCCACAAAACAAATAAAATATTATTAAATAAAATAAAATAGTAAGAACAATATTAATATAATAATTTTTAATTTAATTAAATGTAAATGTTTGCAATCTATTGGCCCGGCCGCTACCAAAATTCTTGATCGCGTGAAAAGTTCGATTCAGCTCGCATTGGATTTAGTGGTCGCAGTCAACACAAATGCGCCCGAGAATTTCCGAGCATATTCGGTCGAGTTCGGCGTTCTGTATATGTGTTCGTCTCACTGACTTAGGGAGGAACTCACGGCGCGAACGACGAGAATTCAAAATTTCATCCCTAAGTACCGTTTCTTGCCGCGAGGAGGCAGCGCTCTATTGGAACAACTTACATATTTCCATTACGTGCCTACTCTCATTTTCTCTCTGTTAGTAAGAAACTTTTCGAAATACATTATCCAGAAAGTTACACACTCTATCCCTATAGTGATGCAATGCCAAGTACTGTAGATATTGGTATTAGTAAAAATTTTAATAACAATATACAGACTGACATACTAGACGAACTAGATTCAGACCACCTACCTGTTCTTATATCAATTAGTAATGTAGATAATTTGAAATTAGAAGAGCAAACTTTTTTGAATTATAATAAAGCGAACTGGGAAAAATTCCAAAGAAATGTAAACGAAAATTTGAGACTGAGTAATAATTTAAATACTAAAGTTGATATAGAAAATTTTGTTGATGAGTTTGTTAGTATCATACAAAATGCCATGTCAAAATCCATTCCAAAAATTAAAATTAAACAAAATATAAAGTTTGTTTCTGATGAAATCAGACTCATGATTTCTGATAGAAACAAACTTAGGAAAATTTATCAATCCACTCGTAGTATTGAAGTTAAAAAGATTAAAAATAAACTCACAAATTCTATAAGAAGAAAAATATTTCAATATAATAATGATAGATAGAATGAAAAATTAGAGTCATTAACCGTTAAAGATAATTCCTTGTGGAAAATGGCAAAATGCCTCACAAAGAAAAATAATAATTGTATACCTATTCTTCATGGCTTAAATAGTTTAGCTTTGAGCAATGAGGATAGAGTGGAGGAAATCGCGAATAATTTTGAAAAAGTTCATCGGTTAACCCAAGATATGAGTGATTATGACACTGAGAAGCTCATCAACAGAAAATATAGAGAGATTAGAGCGAAGCAAATAGATAAAAATGATATTGTTCTTGTTTCCCCAAGGGAAATTAAAAAGGCTGTTCTTAGAACTAAATCAAAGAAAGCACCGGGCTTGGATAATATACAAAATATAGTTCTTAAACAATTACCAAAAAAGGCTTTTGTACAGCTCACTTACATTTTCAATGCTTGCTTCGAAATCTCATATTTTCCATCCGTTTGGAAAAAAGCAAGAATTTTACCTTTCCACAAATCTGGAAAGGATAAACTCTTCCCACAGAGCTATAGGCCAATCAGTCTTTTGCCCACGCTCAGTAAAGTTTATGAAAAAATTATTCTAAATAGGATTAAAGATTTTGAATTGGCAAATAACTTATTAATTCCACAACAATTTGGATTCCGCGAAAAGAATAACACTGTACAACAGCTTTTTAGGGTAACAAATCATATAAGTACAAATTTTAATATCAAAAAATCCACTGCGATGGTGCTACTTGACATTGAAAAAGCATTCGACACTGTGTGGCATGAAGGTCTTATTTATAAATTGCAAAAATATAATTTTCCACTTTATATAATTAAAATAATACAAAATTATTTAAAAAACAGATCTTTTATTGTCACTGCAAATAAAACAGATTCTAATGAAAAAACAATTGAAGCTGGAGTGCCACAAGGTTCGATTCTAGGCCCGGTGCTTTTTATACTATATATTAATGAAATACCAAAATCTGATGAAGTTAAACTTTCGCTTTTTGCCGATGATACGGCAATGTATGTATCTTCGTTAAAATTAAGTTTGGCTGTGAAAAAATTACAGAATTACCTAGAGGTTTTGCTTGAGTTCTTTGATAAATGGAAATTGAAGGTTAACTCAGCTAAAACTGAATTAGTTTACTTTAAACATCTAAAAAGAAAAGAAAGTGTCCCTGACTTTTATGTAGATGCGCATAAAATAATATCAAATAATCAAGCAAAATTTCTGGGTCTAATCTTAGATAAGAAGCTACTGTTCAAAGACCAAATTACTTCTATAAGAAAAAACGCATATGGTATTATTAGCATAATAAATTGTTTAATAGGTAGACGTAGTACACTAAGTATTAAAAATAAAATTATTTTATTTAAAATGATAGTATTACCTGTTATGTTGTATGCCATACCTGTATGGTCTAATACGTGTGAAAGTAATCCCTCACAACACAAGGATATTCAGGATATCCCTGGGACGTCCTGGGGATATCCATTTGCTTTTGGCGATTCGGATATCCCTAAGATATCCTCTGGATATCCATGGACATCTCTAAGATATCCCAGGGATATCCAAACCGCCGAAAACAAATCGATATCCCCAGGACGTCCCAAGGATATCCTGAATATCCTTTTGTTGTGAGGGATATTAATAAGTTACAAATCATTCAAAATAAATGTCTAAGAATGATTTGCAAAGCCGGTCCTAGAGACAGAAACAGCGATCTACATAAAAAATGTAATGTGCGACCTATAAGGGAACATATCTGTGATGCGACAAGAAAATTCTATGTAGAACAAATAGACAGTTCTGAAGTATTAAACGACATAAGAAATGAATTTATAGTTTATAAGACAAAGGATGAGATGCCATTTAGACTTAAGTACAGAATGCCGTTATGTAGTTATAAGGCTGTATATATTTTTATTTTCTTTTAAGTCGTAGATTAAGTTTTCTAATAAGTTTTTTATTAACATTTTTACTTAAATAAATATTATTTTAACTAACGATCATAACCGATCTCAATCAAAAATATAAATAAGAAATCAGAGATTTTTATTTACTGGGGTTAAAGTTCCTAAGAGAACTGCGTACCCGAAACGATAGCTTATATATTTTATAATGTTTCTTTTGTAAACTTAACTGTGTATTTTATGAACAATAAATATATTTTTCAAAGTCAAAAAAAAAAAAAAAAAGTTTTTTCTTGTCGAAATTTTTTTCTGCCCGATGTCTCTCCTATTTTTTGGATTTGAGACAAATTCTTTTTTGGAAGAAATGATTTCCCTAATACTTTGATGACCATTTTTTTATTTTAATGTAATTATTAAAAATAAAATAATAATAATAACTATTAAAAAATAATAAAATGATGGTTGCCATTGATACGCCTATGGTATTTTTCCCATTGGGTACTTACTAAATTACTAAATAAATAATATTAAAATAATTATTGCAACATCGTATACGACATCGTAAACGACGTAGTAAACGACGTAGTAAACGAAGTCATTTGCTATCCCAAATTCCGCTTTCATTTACTATGTCGTTTACTATGTCGTTTACTATGTCGTTTACTACGTCGTTTACTACGTCGCAAACTACTTAGAATACGACGTTGTAAACGAGGTCGGAATTTTCAACAGGGATGAGTTTATTTAAAAACTTTGAAAAATGCGTTTCAAATCTTCATTTAAAATAAATTAGAAGCTCATAAGATTTTTGTTTTTATTATATTATTATTCATTATATTAGCTTAACAATTTTAACCTTTAAAAATATATGTTGAGATATTAAATATCCCGTGAATATCCTAAGAATATCCCACGGACATCCTGAGGATATCCCATGGATATCCTGCGATATAATATCCAATAGATATTTTGTGGATGTCTTAGGGATATCCTGTGGATATCCTATGGATGTCCTGTTGATGTCCCACAGACCGGCGGTTTGGATATCCTAGCGATATCCTGGGGACCATTCTAGGATATCGACCATTGATATGGATATCCTAGGAATATCCTTTTGTTATGAGGGAAGTGGTAAAAAATTAAGTTTCCAATAGTTTTCAAAAAGGCCGACATAACGAGGCGCTACTTAGATATATCTAAGTTCAAAAATTTTTGTAGCTCCGGAACTCGTTTTAAATAAATATCAGTGTTTTATGTTGCCTAATATGCGCCCGGTTATGTCGGCCCTTTCGAAATCTATTGAAAACTTATTTTTTTACCATTAGAAATAACATATGTAAGTGGCAAATATTTTGTAGCTCCGGAACTGCCCAAACGCAGTATTTGCGCATAATTAGTGCAGGATTTCAAGTAACCGAAAAAAATCATGAAAGACAGTCTTAATTAGTACTAAAAGAAAAAAAAGTTTCAAAAATGGTGTTATAAAAATTATTTCTTCATTGTAAAAGTGTCTTAAATTTTTGAAATTTTGAAACATTAATTTTATGAGAGACATTAGCAAAATGTCAACCTTTCAAAACTGACATTAGGTATATTATTTAAAAAATAAAATAATAAATCAAAGGTGATAATTATACGGAACTAATTGTATTTTATTTGATGTTAATTTAATAATATATAATAATATAATATATAATTATAATATACATAATTAATATATAATAATAATTTAATATATTTAAAAAATATTTTAATGTTAATAATAATAATAATAATTTACTTACAAGAAAAGCATAAGTTGGCGAAACTTACAAAAAGTAAGAGAGAAATATAAGTGGCTTTCATTGTTATTGCAGTAAAAACTGTAGAACAGAATAGAAAAATCTTTATAAAAATCGTTTAAATTACCTTCTATTTATATGCATGCTTATCACAAACACCATAAAAATAAACAAAATATAAAAAAATTTATTTGCAATAAATGACTTGACTTATCTAAAATTTTTCTATTGCACATATTTTTTATTACTTTTTGTGAAACTTAAGATTATTTTTGAAAAAAATAATAAAATTGTAAAATAAAATTTGAATTACCTTTCAGAAGAAAATATTATTTTAAATAATATTTTGAAAAAAATAATAAAAATGTTAAATAAAATTTGAATTACCTTTCAGAAGAAAATATTATTTTTAAATTCAATTTTATTTTTCAAAACTAAATTAAAAAATAGAAATTAAAAGAAATTTGATCATGGATTTTTTATTCAAACCAAATATATTTGAATGAAATAAAAATATATTTTACTAAGAGCAATATTAATTATTTAATTAAACCAAATTGAAATTTATTTAAAACAAATAGATTTTTCATTCTTATCTCTGAGAGAAAAAAATTTTTTTTCTTCTGAATGTACATTTCGATGAATGTAGATTGATTTAAATATTTATTTTATTTATAAAAATAAATAGCCTCAAGTACTTTAAATATACCAAATTTAAATTAAATTAAATAATTTACTTAATTTAAAAAAAAAAAATTTTATTTGCAAATAGTACTGCGCAAAATATAAATCACGTTTTTTAGTTGTAATAAATAATGCATTAAAGATTTTAAAAAATAAAGATTATAATTTTTTTTATTTCAAATGGCAGATATTGAGTTGCGTTTATATTATTTTGTTTATTGGTGAATCATGTAAAAACCTTTATTCTAAAGTTGGTAAAATTTTTAAACTATAAAATATCTGCATTTTTATATTTGTTACACGTTTAACGTGCGTGCGTTAGATACATAAAATATGTTCTTGAAATTATGAACGTACGAATTCATTTTTAATGTTTTCAAAAATTCAGAAAATATTATTTCTTTTAAGACTTTTTTAAAAAAATTTTACAACATTTTTAAACAAAATGTTTTTTTTTAGTATATTCAACGCAGATCTCTTTTAGATGTTTAATTTAATTATTTAACAAAATTTTCAACTAAATTCTTCCCTAATTATTTTCAATAATTTTAATGAAATTCTTCACAAATCTGTAATTTAATTACAATAAATTCTTCATTCACGGAAATCACAAAAAATTTAAATTAAAAATCATTTGAAGTTCATTTATTTACATAAATCTATATTGTAAATCTTTGAAAATTCAATTACCTTTTAAAAAATATTATCTAAAATTATTTAATAAATTATTTTCAATTCTACAAAATTAATTTATTGTCTCAAAATTTAATTTTATTTGTTATTGAAAACGATAAGACAATAATAATAATAATAATAATAATAATAACAATAATAATACACTTTTCAGTGTTTGTAAAATTAAACTTTAGAGATTAGTGTTGCAAAAAAAATTTAATCATCAACTACAATCGTGACCGCGATATTTTCTCTGTAATTTTTATGCAAAAATACATTTTTATAACAAATATGAACTGTCTAGATTGAATATTGTATACGGAACACTAAAAAATAAAAATTTACGTCAATCCGCTCGTAACAATTATAAATTTTATTGTAAAATTATATCTAGACCGTAATTAAATAGAACATTTTTATAAAGTGGTAAAGATTTATTAAATTCATGCGTACAGTATGATTATTTAATTTTTTCTTTTTGATGTTTAAATTTTATAATTAAAATCCGTCATTAAACTGAAAGATTACAAATTCATAGAACAGATCTTCCACTTTTCAAATTACTATTCCAGAATCATTCTTCCAGGAAGAAGTATTGTCCGGCTCTCTTTTGTTCCAGGTCCTATTAAAAGCATAATAGTATTAATTTAAAAAAAAAAAGGAACGAAAAAAATTCTAAAACAATGGAGAATCATGTTTAAAATTATTTTTATGATGTAGAGAAGTCTAATGTGACACACTCGACTCATTTTTTATCAAAATTTTGAGTTTAAATAACAAAGTAAGAATAAGGTGATTTCATATTAAAGCCAAAATTGTAAAAATAGCATAAAGTCATTTACTTTTACAGAATTATGAATTTGAATTAAAAAAAAAATCTTACGCTACATCATTAATCATATTAAAGTAGATGAAAAAATAAAAATACCTTAACCGATTGATTTTTATTGATTCGTGGTCTGAAATTATTAGGATCTCTTCTAAAAGTAATTCCTAAAAGTTCCAAAAATCTGTTCATTCCATTTAATAAAGATTGTGGACTGTGTGCAACTGTGCATAAAGATGGAGTTCCAGAAAAAACAATCACCCTATCAGCAAGATAAGTCGCCATAATAAAGTCATGTTCCACAACAAATCCAGTTTTCTTTGAATGAAGAACAAATCTAAAGATAACAGAAATTAAGAACATGTACTTTTTTAAAATCAATCATTGTCTTTAGTTAAAAATCATTGATAATAATTAAAAAAAAAATTATTTCAAACTTTTAGCACAAAAATTAATTAACACAGTAATTCTTTTAACAGAATTATCACATTAATTTAAAATCAAATAATTTACATACCGTTTAATTACTTTTGCTGCAACTAAACGTTGTTCTGAATCTAAATAAGCTGATGGTTCATCAATTAAATAAACATCAGCAGGTTTACCCAAACAAAGTGCCATAGCAACACGTTGTAATTCCCCTCCCGACAAATTTTGAACTTCCTGATCCATAATATCGTCAATTCTTAACGGTTTCATCACATCCGTTATAAATTGAGGATGCAAGTATGCATCCCTTATTTTTTCATGTAATAGTTGTCTAACAATACCCTGTGATTTGGGACTGATTTTTTGCGGTTTATAACTTATATGAAGTTGAGGAATACTATCTGTAAATTAATTAAATATAAATTTATAAATTATAATATTTTATTGTTTAGAAAATTGCTCTCATCTCCGTAAAAGAATGTATTTAGTTTTAAAATAAACGAATAGAAAACAAAAAAAAACCCACCATTTCCCTCATCTGGAGATAAATTGCCAGCAAGCATTCTTATAAATGTAGTTTTTCCAGTTCCATTTTCGCCTAATAAAACAATTATTTCAGAATCAGTAAATTGTCCTCTTTCAACAACAAGAGAAAAAGATTCCATTGTTTTTTTCATAGCTGGATATTCATAATGATTCATGCGTTTCACTTCTTCTTCAGTGGCACTTTCAGCCACTTTAAATACAAGTGATTCTTCTCTAAAACGCAAATTTTCAGTTGGAACGAATCCATCGAGGAAAATATTAATACCTTCTCGAACGGAGAAAGGCATTGTTACAACGCCATAGGCGCCAGGAACGCCATACAAACAACATATAAAATCCGACAAGTAATCCAACACTGACAAATCATGTTCCACAACAATGATGAATCTAATAATTAACAATAATAAAATATTAAAGGCCAGTTTCATCAAACTTAAGGCGTATGAATTTTCTCTACAATTCGTTAGTAAAAATTTACAAAATATCGAAATAACGTCGAATTTTATATCAAATTTTTAACAAACCAAATCCCGACTAAATTTTCTTTTTAAAAATTCATTTTAATTAAAACTATTTGTGTCATTTTAGGTAAATTTAAACAAATGTTTGCGCTTAATTTATATTTAGTAAGTATTTTAGTATTTTTCTTTAAACAGGGTGGCCTCGAAAAATCTCATATTCAAAATTTCTCGATTTTTCCCTAACTAATTTTTCTTTTTCCATGATTAACAATTTTTTGAGCAATTTAAAACTTTAAATTGTTTAAATTTTTATATTGTTTTTTAAGTAACAATTTTCCTATTATAAAAAAATCATACCAAAGCGTAACGCTTTTTAGTAAAACTAATAAAATCAATTATTCGAATATAATATCAACATAAATATAACATAAAAACATCATTAGACTACTGTTTTATTAATACAAAATAATTTAATGATTAAAAAACAATTATCAGCGAGCTAAAGCGCGCGAATGTCTCGTATTAATAAAAGGAGAACAGATAAAATGATTAAAACAGGGTGCGCAGTGGAGCAGAAGCTTAAAAACGTGCCTAAAACCGCAAAACATTCTTCGATTTATACAAAACTTGGTAACTATACGTTTTTGGGGGCGCTGATTATGAATTTGAAGTCAGTTTTTAAAAATTCAAAATGGCGCATCTAAATGGCGGATTAATTTTTAAAAAATTAATGAATTTTTATAAAAATTTCAGGCTTTGCACTCATTAGTCAGTAAAAAAATAGTAGCAAAAAGTAGCCTGAAAAGTAAAAAAAGTAGCCTACGGAAAAAATTAAAAATATGTGTAGTTTATATATTAAATTGTATTTAATTTTAAAAAATTAAATTTCAACACTTAATACTTAGTTTTTAGGGTATAAAAAATTAAAATTATACCATAAAAGTAAAGATTTTTCGAACATTTAAATGGCAATAGAGGTAATTACAAATTTTTGGCTCAATCCATTATATTTTATATCAAAAGTCGTTAAGGCCTAATTTTTTAAAAAATAGATACTTTCCGAAATGATTCTGGATGATATTTAGAGAACGAAATAAAAACAATTAAGTCAAAATTTTTATTATTTATCTTGAAATATGAGTTTAAAATGGAGAAGATATGGAAAACTCACTTTTTCAGCAATTAGAAAGATTATTAAAAATATAGACAACTCTTTTAAAATGTACAATGTATTACTGGCTCTTGTTCAGAATTAAGGGGGTGTCCTGAATTAGAAAGCATAAAAAGCTGTTTTTTGATAATTTTTTTTTAAAGGGAAAAGAAAATCTCAACCTAGTTAAACCTAAGGTACATTTTTATGGATGTTTGAAGAGTGTTAAAAAAATTTTAACCACATGATTCGATGAAATGTTAAGGAGTTATCAGCCTATTCCGAGAGCGCCTTGAAAATTCAGTATCCAATTGGCGGGAAAGATACAGATCGCAATTCTTGACCAAAAAAAAGCAAAAAATTTATTTCCAATTTTTACATATGTAGTTTCTAGTTGAACCTATAAAAACACGTAAAAGTCGTGAAATAATAATTTTTATTGAAGTTTATTGAAGAAAAAAATGTATTTTTTAGACAAAAAAAATCACTTTAAAGTGTTATAAAATCTTCTGAAAAAGGATTTTGAACCATGTTTAAGGTTCAACTAGAAGAGAATATTATACTGAAGAGAATAAGCCTTGAACCGATCCAATCTGTCGATAAATTTTTTTGCTATCTTTCCCGCCAATTAGATACTGCATTTTAAAGGCGCTCTCGGATAACTCTTTAACAGTTCAGTTCAGTTCCCTTAATTAATTTATTATCTTTTATTGATTACACAGCCTTAGAAAAAAAATTAATTTTGTCCGTCGAAATAGACTAGTCATTCTTACATCTTAGTTCTTAGAGATAATCGCAAAAATCTGATAAAAATCCTGAATTAGGGACAAAGATAATTTTTTGCCGAAACACTACGATATTGTATTTCCATGTACATTGTACTTTTTTCCACTGAATTCGAATTCGAAGTCAGAATTGAGAGATTAGCTTAAATTTTGGAGATAATGCCAAAAAACTGATTTTCAGTTTTCTTGAATGTTTTGTTTATTGAGTTTTTTGCAATTATCTCAAAACATTTCAGCAAATCTAACAATTCTAACTTTGGATTCGGAATCAGTGACTAAAAATACATGGAATTACACTATCGCAGTGTCATACAAAATTTTTTTCACTTTTTGATTTTTTTTTTCTTTTTTAAGCAGTTTTTTGAGTTTATCTCAAAAATAAGAGCCAACTTTTAAATTCTGACCCCGGATTCGGATTCAGCGACCCAAAATACGTAAGAATGACTAGTCTATTTTGCCGGACAAAATTTTTTTTGTAGGGGTTTGTTAATTAAGTAAAAAAATGAAAATAATAGATAAAATATGTTTTCAAAGTTGGTCTGTGAAAGTAAGTAAGTTTAAACAGCACACAAAAATTACACAAAAATTGGATCTATAAGGTGCTAAATATCTTGCGGTTACTTTAACCTAGCGCATTAACATTTATGTAAAACTGTGAAAAATAGCCGGTTATCTATGTATATTTCGGTGGTGGGGATAAATCACTCTATTTTCTTAATTTCTAGTTTTTTATTTATCTAGTTTATTTTTATTTTTATTTAGATATTTATTTTTATCTAGTTTTTTTATTTTCTTCTAATTTCTAGAAAATCTTAAAATCTTTAAATTTTTAATTAATATTTATTTAGGCATATTTGAAATTTAAAGAACTGATTTAATACCAATTTTTCACAGTTTTTCATAAATTTAAATGGGTTAAAGTAACCGCAAGATATTCAGAACTTTATAGATCCAATTTTTGTGTGCTATTTTAAATTACTTAAAACCATATACAGGTTTTGAACTTATTAGTCGGCAAAAAAGTAACAAAAAGTTGTCTAAATAGTGAAAAAGTAGCTTTTAGTAGCCTAAGGTTGAAAAAAGTAGCCAAAAAATAGCCAACCATCAAAAAAGTAGCAAATAGTAGCTTTTAGTCGAAGAGTGCGAAGCCTGTAAAAATGAGTTTTAGGGGTTTTTTAGGTAGCTGATTACGAATTTGAATGTCACTTCAGGTGACACCATAACCAAAAAATTTTTTATTATTTTACAAAGACGCCTGATTGATCAAAACCGTGAAAGACATTTTCGAATATTTTACTTAAAAAAGTAACCAATTTCGTGAAATAATAATTATTAATGTAATAATAAATAAAATAAATAATTTTATTTCTACTAGTTAGTTTTTCAATTTTTTAATTAAACTCACTGGAAGAAGGAAGAGTAATTATGATTTTTAAATAAATATTTAATAAATACGATTTTTTTTTTCAAAATACATTGAGCGTTATATCCGAAGAATATAAACTTATTGCTCAGGCGTAAATGTTTTAGAATGTAATTGAGCATCTTGCAAATTTTTGCAAACTTGCATTGCATGCTTCCATCGGTTATACTGTAGAATGATAATTAGTGACGCAAAAAACCGCCTTACTTCAAGATTTGTTAAAAATAATTGAATTTTTACAATTTTTGGCCGCCATATTAGATCCGCCATTTTGAATTTTCATAAATCTGACTTCAAATTTATAATCAACGACCAAAAAACTTTTTTGGTATTAATAACTGTAATATTAGTTGAATAGAATAGAAAATCCAATAGAGGGTTGTGTAATTTAATTGGAGTAATTGAATAAAAATACATCTAAATCAAAAAAGGGACAAATTCGGGCAAGTTTTGTTTGTGGGATTAGTTTCAGGGATGTTTAATAATTAATTTTTAAAACAATTAAGCCGGATTTATAACTTTTTAAATTATTTTTTAAAAAGTTTATACTTGATTTTTTAAACATTTTCATGTATTTCTTAGTTAAATAGTTTTTTTTTAATTATTGATATTATTAATTATAAATTATGCAAATGTATTCCATTACTTTCCATAAGACGACTCCAATTTAGAAAATTAAAAAATAATAAAATTTGAGTTTTATATAGTATTTTTACGAGCGCGATACTGTAGAAGGATAAGATTTTCTTGCAGATCTCTATAAAATGTGTTTTTTTAACTTAAAAACTTACTTGTCTGGATGTATAAGGGATCTGATAGTCACAGCAGCATTTAGTCGCTGTTTAACATCCAAATATGACGATGGTTCGTCAAACATGAATATATCTCCATCTTGAATGCACACCATAGCGCAAGCAAATCTTTGCAATTCACCTCCAGAGAGTGCATCAATTGCTCTGTCTCTTATGTGCAATAAATCTGTCAATATTAAATACACATCATAAATTCATTAAAACGATGCAATAAAAAAAGACACACATGAACAATGTCTAAAACTATTTTGGTAAAATTTTATTACTTACTTTTAGTCCAATTTTTATTTTTTAAAATTATTATTTAACAGAAATACCATTTAATTTTATTTTTATATTACAGAATTATTAAACGAATTATTATTTTACACAATTTTTTTCATCGAATTAGAATTTTACAGAATTATTATTTGCTCGAATTTTCATTAGATAGAATAGTGATTTAAAAGAATTTTTATTTTACAGAATGAATATTAAAATTCATATTTCAAAATTCAGTCAAATTTTTATTTGTTTGAATTTAGTTTTGACAGAATACTTAAAACGATCAATTTTTATTTTACAGAACTTTCATTTCTCCGAATCAATATCAGGTAGAAAAATTTGGGCGCCAATTTTAAAATTGACCAATTTTATTTAATATTCATCAATTCGACAAAATTATGATTGGTTAATTTTTAATTTTGTGCTCAAATTTTTCTGCCTGATATTTATTCGGAGAAATGAAAGTTCTGTAAGATAAAAAATTAGTCTTTTTAAAAATTCCATCAAATGTAAATTCGAACAAATGAAAATTCGACTAGAAATTAATTATTTCCAATATTGATTCTGTAAAATAATTCTTTTAAATGACAATTCTGTTTAATAAAAATTCGAGCAAATAATAATTCTGTCAAATTCAAATTCGATGTAATAAAAATTCTATAAAACTAAAATTCATTTAAGTAGAAATACTTTTAAATTGGAATACGGTTAAATAAAATTTCTGTTAAATAATAATTTGAAAAAAGAAAAATTTGAATAAAAGAACATTCCAATTGTGAGTAATGAAATTCAGTCAAATTAAAATTCTTACAAATTTATTTTAAACCTTATTCATGTGTCTCATAACAAATAAAAAATATCAATATTATTTAAATTTTTGTCACTAGACTTCTTTAGAATTATTTAAGAAATCTAGTGACAAAATGTTGAGGCAAATATGACGCCAACTGTGTAAAAAATTTTCTCACTTCTTCTTTTTCATAAAAAAAAATTATATTTCTCACCAAGCATTTTGCAAATTTCAATTTGACTATTTGTTTCATCTTTCTTGTCTAACAATTGTTGAACAGTTCCTCGAACAGCTTTTGGAATCTGATCAACGTATTGTGGTTTAATAAGAGCCTTCAAATCATCTTCGAGAATTTTTGTGAAATAATTTTGCAATTCACTGCCCCTGAAATGACTCAGAATTTCTGTCCAATCAGGAGGATTCTGTTAATATAGAATTTTTATTAATAAATAAATTATAGAACGAGGCAAAATTAGCAGTTCACTAATAGAATCATATTAAAAACATGTCTCAATTTTTCAATAGATATTTCAACAAATAATAAAACCTAAACAAAATACTAAGAATTTAATAAAAAATAGTTTTTATTCTTTTCATATTTTTTTGTTGAAATACTTTTGTAAAAAAAAGAAAGGAATATTATTTGTTTTTTTATGATTTTTTTTAAGATAACTTAAAAATTCTTATTAATATTGTATAAATTTTAGAGAAAAATTAAAATTAAACTTACAGTAAATTGACCTAAATTAGGTTTCTGCTTTCCGGCCAATATTTTAAGAGCAGTAGATTTACCAATTCCATTAGTACCAACTAAACCAAGAACTTCACCAGGTCGAGGTATTGGCAATCTGTGTAATTTGAAGGAATTTTTGGAATACCGATGGGTAGTTTCCTTTTCTAAATTACTTGGTAGATTTATAATTGATATAGCTTCAAATGGACATTTCTTTAAACAAAAATAATCAATATAAAAATTTAATTTAATTAGATTGTGCATAGAATAAATGAGAGGTTAAATATTATTTTTCTTAACTTATATATTATACAAATATTGAAACTCAAAAATAAAGTGATATAAATTACGGGACGCACGAATATTCCCCACATTAGACATGTCGGAATTTTTGTCATTTCTAAATAAAAATTATTGAATTCTTATTTAATATAATTTTATAAAGTCGTTTTTATAATGAGCCACATTTTCATAAGGAACAACTTTTTGTTAATTAAATTCTGATTTAATAGAATTTTTATTTAAATTAACTTGAAGTATATGAATTATCTAGAATTACTTTAAATTATCTCGAATAATTATGAATTATCTTGAATTAACTTAAAGTATATGAATTATCCTGAATTATCTCGAATTACTCTGAATTATCTCGAATTACTATGAATTATTTTGAATTATCTCGAATTACTATGAATTAACTTGAAGTATATGAATTATCCTGAATTACTATGAATTATTTTGAATTATTTTGAACTAATTTGAATGATCTTAAATTACTATGAATTATCTCGAATTACAATGAATTATCTCGAATTACTATGAATAATTTTGAATTACAATGAATTATCTCGAATTACTCTGAATTATCTCGAATTACTATGAATTATTTTGAATTACTTTGAATTATCTCGAATTACTATGAATTAACTTGAAGTATATGAATTATCCTGAATTACTATGAATTATTTTGAATTATCTTGAACTAATTTGAATTATCTTTAATTACTTTGAATTATCTCGAATAATTATGAATTATCTTGAATTAACTTGAAGTATATGAATTATGTCAAATTACAATGAATTATCCTGAATTATCTTGAATTATCTGAAGTATCATGAATTATTTTGAAGTATGAAGTAGGTGTTCACCAAATTGTTATTTAATAGAAATTTTATTTAGCTAAATTTTTAAGTGAGATTATTTCTATTTCACCGAGATTCTTTTTGACAAAACTTTCACTTGTCCGAATTGTCATTTGATAAAACTGTTATGGAGGATAAAGGCACTAACATAACCTCAAAACTGAAAAATTGTTTTTAGCGCAATCAAAAATTTAATAAACATTAATGTCAAGCAATTTTAAAAGATTTAATAATAGATTTTTTGAAAAAAAATTTTATGTTCAATTGAAACGTTTTGTTCGCGTTAAAAATCATTTTTCAGTTTTAAGGCCATGTAATAGCCTTCCTATCCTCCTTAAATTGTCGTATTTACCCTTAATAAAATTTTTGCATATCCGATTATTCACACGGCAGTAACATTTCAGCGGGAGTTTTAAAATTCACCAATAAAAAAACTATCAAAAAAATTGTGATTGGTCGGTTTTAAATCTACCGCTAAAATATTTCAGTCAGATGTATGATCGGATATATAAAGGCCTTAGCAGAATAGAAACGTAACCGGAATTGTAACCGCAAACGCAACCGGAATAATGAGTTGGAGAAGGACAAACAATATGTCTATCCTTCTCTATCTCATTCTTCTGGTTGCGTTTGCGATTACGTTTCTATTCTACTCAGGCCTTAAAAGTTTTATTAAATGACAATTCGAACAAGTGAAAATTCGGTCAAATAAAGTTTCGATGAAATAGAAATTTTCTCACTTAAAAATTCAGTTAAATAGAATTTCTGTTAAATTGTACATTCAGTTAATGAAAATATTATCAAGTGAATATTCGGATAAATAGAAATTTTATAAAAGAACAATTTGAATAAATAAACATTCTTTTTATGAAAGTTTAGCTAGACACTAATTCTGTTAAATGGAAATTGGATTATTTGAAAATCCAATGTATTAGAAAATCTGTTTTACAAAATTTCAGTTAAATATAAATTTTATTAAATCAAAATTTAGTTAAATATAAATTCTTCAATAGGAAAATTAATCTCATTATAAAATTCACTTTATAAAATTCTGTTAAATAAAAATTTAATAATTTTTAATTCAATATCGCAAAAATTTTGACACGCCTAATTTAATGTGAAAATGATCAGTTCTGAATTAACATTTTTTTATTCTTGTTTATTTATTTTGTCACTTTCCTCAATCCATAAGTTCCTAAATTTTATTATTATTATTTATTATTTAATTATTATTATTATTATAAAAATACTAAAAACCATTTAAATATAATGAAGGAGGGAAATGTGACAGAATCAAATTTTTTCATTTTTATAACTGGTTTTCATTTTACTTATTGTGTAAGAAAAACATTCTTATTAAAAAATATAAGAATAAAGAAACTTACTTTCACACAAATACCACATCCAATGCAAAGCTCTTCAGAAATCGAAGCTATTTTACTGTTCGGTGTTACTTCAATACAAAGCTTTCCCATTCTTACCACAGGGCAAGAACGTTTACATTCTTGTCTACAACGCTTAGGTTTGCATTTATCAGAATTGACTATCGCAATTCTAGTTAACCGATCGGTTTCTTCCATTGCCCTTTTTGGTGGCATGGTTGTTGATTGTTATTTTTATCCTTCAGCAATAACTAAAATAAATAGCGTCATTAAATTTAAAACAATTGAAAATAATTTTTATAATTATTTTCAACTTTTTATATATAGATCAAATTCATTTCAAATCAGACAGGCTAAACATCGTCGGAGCTGAAAATTAATTTTTTCTCCGAAATTTTTTTTAAAACTTTTTAGACGACACGTAGTTTTTTTTTGGCTGAAAAATTATTATTTTTTTTAAATTTAATTAACTTAAATACTATTGATTCGCATATAAAATTGAAAATTAATTTTTTGTCACGTTAGGTCTCTTTTCTCGTGGAACGTCACATTTATATCCGTCATGTTGGATCCGGCATTTTTTAAGTTTTAAAATAAATTTTAGACACGTAATTTGCAATACCGGAAACCCCAGAAAAACAAGCCGCAAAATAATTAATTCAATTTTGAAAATTTTTGACGACATTTTGAATTTTTGAAATTCAACTTTCGATTCGTCAATAGAAACGTTAAAAATTTCAAAGTGACAAGTTTCAAATAAATTCGGTTATGGAAATCGATTTCAACAAAGGGCTCTCTATCCCAGCTATTTTTAATGTTTGAGATAGCGATTATATTCTAAATAAGTTTCAGCGCAATTGTAATTAACTTTTCAGTTTTGGGGCTTAATGTTGAAGGTTTAAGCTTTCATTTAAGCCCTTGTAGAGATTTTTATCACGTTCCGTTTTCATTTTACAGTGCTTCAAAAAGTGCTAAAAAAAAGCGATTTTTGGACACTTTAATCTCGTTTTTTATGGAACTGACCGAATGAAAATTTTTTTTTGTATATTCTTATTCAGTGAGATCTAAATTTTCAATAAACACAAAAAATTATATAATAATAATATAAAGTTGTATATTGATTCAAAAATTGTATACAAATACAAAAAATTTATGATGAGAAAAAAGATGCGCCAGAAAATTTCGTACAAGATAGTAATTTGAAAAAAATTTATTTTAAAAAATTTATTTTTAAGGTACCAGGGGCCAACGAATACCTATTAAATATTAATTATAAAAACACAGGCCTCGAATCAACTTAAAGACACAAAAAAGTCGTTTAGTCGATTTATATTCCAAAAAAAAGTGGATTTGTTTTTTATTTTAACAAAAATAGTTTACTGATTTTTAAATAAAAATTTTTTATTTAATAATAATCCTTTTCGAAGGGTTAAAGTTGAAATCTTTAGAAATAATTAAATTTCAACAGATATATTGTTAATTTTCAAACAATTATTAAATTTAACAGAACTAAAAATAATTTATCAAACAATTTTTGGAAAACATTTTTTAAATTTAATTGAATTTTCAAAGATTTAAAATTGAGATTTTTGAAATTAATTGAAACTTTAAGTGTTTTGTAATTAAAATTTTAGATGATTTCACTAAAAATTTATTAGAAAATGCGGACAAAATACAATAATTTGAAAATCATTTTTAATTGAAAAATGGTTTCAGATACTTGAAATTTCAAAGAATATTATTAAAATAGTTAAAAATAATTGAATTTCCTTAGAGTTATAATTGAAATTATTAAATTTAAAAAAAAAAATTTTCGATGGAAAATTTTAGAAATAATTAAATTTTAGATGCTTTTAAATTCAAATTATTGAAAATTCAATTAATTTTGAATTCAAATTTTTGAGAATAATGAAATTTTATTTGATTTTAAATTTGGAAAATAATTGAATTTTAGTTCATTTTGAATTGCAAATTTTGGGAAATAATTGAATTTTAATTGAAATTTTGGATAATTAATTTTGAATAGAAATTTTAGAAAATAATTGAATTTTATTTCATTTTAAATTGAAAACTTGGCAAATAATTAAATTTTAAATTGAAAATTTTTGATAATTATTGGATTTTTAATTGATTTTGAATTAAAATTTCTTGTAATAATTGAATTTTAGTTTATTTTGAATTGAAATTTTTAAAAAATAATGCAATTTTATTGTGATATTTTTTTTTTAAATTATAAACAATTGTTAAATTTCATAAAAATTTTAATTGAAAAATAATTTTGATATAATTGAATTTGTGATGTATTTCATTAAAATAATTAAAAATAATGAATTTAGTGAAGAATCATTTTAGTTCAAAATTTGTTAAATAATTGAATTGAAGAAGATCTGAAGAAGATCTACATTTTATACTTAAAAAATGTATTTTATTTACATTTTTTTTTTCAAATGTATAAAAAAAATGTCGCATTTCATTAAAATAAATCGATAAAAGTCGTATTTTAAAAAAAAAAGTCGGAAAAAGTCGTATAATCCGAGGCTTGTAAACATATAATTTTCATTATTATCATTTAATATGTAATAATATTCTAATAAATTAAATTATTATTCATAATATTAATCTTTAATTTCTTTATAACAAACAATTAAATACTCAATTTGGCGCGCTTGCGCGCGTTTAATTTTGCTTGTTTTAAATAAACACGACATTATCATTTTTCTATAACCCACTCGAATGAAACCCCAATAAACCTCCAATAAACCCTTGAGTTTTAAAAAAACTCAATTGATTTTTAAAAGTCGATTGGGTTTTTTTTTAAATTGTAAAACAGACAAAAATTATTTTTTTAAGGGGAGGCAACACCTTTATTTAGTCATTTTAAAATTTTAATGATCGCCCGATGTTATATAAATATTTTTTTTATTGCATAATTTGGGTCCTAAAAATATAACAGGTGGTCAAAAAAAGAAAATCTTAATTTTTGTTCATTTTAGAATTTGTATTATTTTGAAAAAATAAATTTTTTTTAAAATCCATACGATAGATTCTAAAGAATTATTAAAAGAGTGTTAAAAAAATTGGCGATGAAAAATAATCAAAATTGTGAAAGCAGTGCAGTTTTGAAAAATCTTAATTTTTTCAAAACTGTATACTCTAAAACGGTCAAAAATTAAGATTTTATTTTTTTGACAACTTTGTATAAACGTTCTGCTTGGCCTTAATTTTTCATAATGAAATATGATTCTAAGTTTATAAAAAGGTTGAAAAAACATTGACAACTCCACAATAATTTAAATTTTGATTAATTGAAATTTCACTAGTAATTCTTTTAAAATTCGACATCTTCCACAATTTTTTCATAACGTAAAACATTTTTAGATTCAAAATAATGTCAAAAAAAATTCTTGCCTAATATTGCCTAATCTTCGCTCTATTCGTTAACTTCTTGTTACACTATTTTTTTTAATAAAAAATGCATTTTTTGCAAATTTTGTTTTTTGTTTTTTCAACATTCTGACCACATTTTTGATTCGATCTAAAAACCAAATACGCTAAATTTTTCTTTATTAAAAAACAAAGAAAATGCAGTATAATAAAGATATTTTGCACTGAATACAAACATTTCAATAATGAAATAAGTTTGGGGTAGTTTTCTACCCCACTTAAAGCTTTACGTATGAGCTAGCCATGTTAAGCTTTCTAAAGTAAAGTAAACAAACATTAATTATTATTTAAAGACTGCTTTAAAATTTATTATTAAAAAATTAATGCTAACCTTAAATTTTCTTTTTCTACAAACTTTTTTATTGAAACGTTTTAAATTAAAGTTCTTAATTTAATGCCTAAAATAATAAAATTATTAAATAAAATAACTTGATATAATTACAAGTTTAAATACTACTTTTAAATAAAGTAAAATGTAAAAAAAGAAGAAAAAAAAACTTATATTGTTTGTCTCACAAGACATAAACAGCCATATTTGAAAGCAAAATACCTAATTCATTCCAAAGCCTCATTATTTCTGTTATAATTATATATTTTTAAATATTCACGTCACAATACGTAATCTGCTGTCAAATAATTAGTCATTTCATTGAAAAAATATTATAGAGGTGCATTTGAATTGTAATAAAAATTCGTAAATTAAATTTTCTTTTTATTTCCAAAACCTTTCATTCCCAAACCTTTTTTATTTAATACATAATATTTATTTATTTTTCTACAACTATTATTTTAATAATTTTAACTTTAATTTTTGTTTACATTTTTTTTAAAGATTCATGTTTTCAACTAATAATAAATATCATTGATTCCTTATGGAAGAAAAGTTGTATAACTAAAATTTTTCAAATTCGATTTTTTTAAATAAATTTTTATGTTTTTCGACCTCAGAAATACAAAAATCACATTTTTTAAAAGTGTCGTATATATACGTTTGATTTTTATAAATATTTTAATTATAATTTATTTATTCCATAAAAGCTATAAGGATGAATTTTTTTTTAAATTCTAATACCGAAAAAAAGTTATTTGATTCAAATAATCGATTACTTGATATTATTATCAAATAAATATTTATTTGTACTAAATAATTATTATTTGAGTAAATTAAATGGTATTTATATTAAATTTTAAATCTTGAACTTTCTAAAGATTGCTTTCTCTTTTTCCTTGTTCATTAACTTCTGTTATAATCTGTTACGAACAAGGTTTTATATTCACGCGCAAATTTAAATAACTGCAATGAAAAGTTACAGATCAAATATGTTTTTAAAAAGAAAAAAAAGTAGACATTTTTAAAAAAAATTCCCTACCTTGATTTTCGTATTCTATATTTGTATCAAATACAAAAATTATTGTTTCAAATACAGATTAATTCAAATAAAAATTATTTGGTTGAAGTAAATATTTATTTTTGATAGAGACCGAATTTATTTCAAATCAGGAAGGTTGAATTTTTTCGATGCTCAAAATTTATTTCATGTCCAAAATTTATTTGACTAGAAAAATTTTTTTTTTGTAAAATAATAAAGGTTTTAATTTTTTAAGTCTGAAAAGTCATTTATTTTAAAATTAAGAAAAAAAAACTTTCAAGTCTCATATTTTTTTAGACTAATTGGAATATTTAATTTTTTCTTTTTGGATCTACTCTTCTTCAAAAATCCGATAAGAAAATTAAAAAATATTGATAAATAACAAAATGGCGGCCATTTTAATAAAAACAAAACTTTAAATTGAAATTACTCAAAAACCCCACCATTTTTTTAGCTCAAATTTTTAATGGTAAAATTTCTTCATATTAAAGAATATTTTCGATAAGAATATAACTTGTACCCGATGGAAGTTAAAGAGAAAAAAATATTTTTTTTTTAAACAACACTTTTTCCAAACAATATACTAGGGTAAGTGCATCAATTACGGCGCGTTCATAAAAAATAACTATTATTACTATCATATTTAATTTAACTATTTTAATCTTTTTTTTTGATAGAATTACTAAAAAAGATGCACTTTTAAACAATTATTAATTTAATTATTTGAGATCAAATTTTTTCCCTTGCTGTAATTGAAACATTTTTAAGATTTCCATTGGCTCCAATTATGGTAGGCAAAGTATCTATAAATAATCGATTTTTATAAAGTTAAAATTATTTTTAAATATCTAAATAATATAAGCTTTTAGTTTAATAAGTCTTAAATTGACTTTATACAATAGAAATATTGAATTTTCTATTTCAAAGGTATTTTGACTTGAACCGCGCCGTAATTATAGTGCATTTACCCTAGCTGAAAAAAATCTCAAAAATAAATGTTTTTCCTCTTTAAAAATTCTAAAAAAAATTTCTTGATATTTTTCTTTATCTTGTGTAGTTTTCAATAAATTTCATATTTTTTAAAAAAAAAAGCTTATATGTACATGGAATATCTATTTATATATTTAATTTTTCATATTTTACCCAAAAAAAACGAAAAGAACCATAAATTTTTAAACTTTTTTATGGTTTTTATCATAAAAATCAAATTTTCGGGTAAATTATGAAAAATCAAAGTATGAGACATAAAAAAATGTATTTTGATGCGCTGATTACGAAAATCATAGTGACAATACCCGAAAATTTAATTTCTATGGTAAAAACCATAAAAAAAACTTAAATTTAAGGACTTTTTTTTATGGTTTTCACCATAAAAATCAAATTTTTGGGTATTGTCACTATGATTTTTAAAAAATTTAAAATTTTTTCAAAATATTGAAAAAATTGTTTTCCCATGATCGGACTAAGCTTAAATAAAAACTCGAAAGATACAAAAAATTAAAAAAAAGATATTAACCTTTAAATTAAAAATAATATAGTAAAATTTAATTTTATAATTTTTTGCATGAAATTTTTGAAAATTTGAGTTAAAAACACACATTTTTTTTTTAAATTTTAAATTAATGCATTTTTAAGGAAGTTATGTGCATTCAAAAATAATAAGTGATTAAAATTTTCCAATTTTGAAAAATTCATATCTCGTAAGCGGCTTGATAAAAAAATTTGAAAAAAATCATGAAGCTCTTTTTGGAAGGGTAGTAAAATGGTGAAAAAAAATTTGAGACAAATTGAAGAGGTCAAAAGTCGACGATATATTGGTTTGGCATGGACCGTCCCATATATATTTTTTAAGTTCAGTAATAGTATTTTAGGCAATAAATAAAATAAATTAAAATGAAATTTTTTTTCAAAAAATATTTATAAATTTTTAATGTAAATGACTCTGATTTTAATCATAATTTAAATGTAAATAACCCTTATGATTTAAATTTTAATTTAAAATTCTATTCAATCTCTGCAAACACACAACTTAATACATTTTTTAAAAAAATTATTGTAATGCTAATTAAGTAATCATAAATTGTTCACAAAAAATCTCCATGAGAAAGCAAAGTGTTAATTAAATAAACACAAAAAATTCATACTTTATCTTGGCTGCAGTTTTTAATAAATATTTTTGAAAATAAATTTAAAAACTTTCAATAATTAGTTTTAATATGTATCATATGTACACAAAAATGTATGATATAAGTAATTAAAACAATGATTTCTCTAGAAAGAATAAAATTTTTTAAAAAAATCCATATTTTCTAAAAATAACTATACGCCCTTGTTTGTTTTACTTTTTTAAAATCATATAAAAATGATTTTGAAACGAATCATTTCTTAAATAAACAATTTTCTTTAAACACCAGTTAAAAAATTACAATTTCCGTCTATGATCAACACATTCTATATAGAATTTCTACAAAAAATTTCTAACCTCAAAAATTCGTATTGTAATTTATATTAAAATAATTTAATATAACATTTCAATACACCACAATAATAAAAATAAATTTTTAAGACAATGTAGAATACTTTCTGTGGAATATAACAAAAATGTATGAATACTTTTTAAAAAAAAAATAGTACATATATGTATACATTCACCATCTGTAACCACCCATAGCATCTAAATATACTGAATTTAAAATAAAGTTAAAATATTTATAAATGAATTACAAAATAAGGCTTAATAAGTTTAATATAACTATAGATATTTCCAGTTAAAAATATTGTAGAAAAAAACTTTTTTTTTTCGATTTAAATTAATTTTATGTACATTTATCTTTATGGAGTAAACATATGTTTTCAACATACTTACAAATTAAATTTGCCCACTAGAAGAGGTTTTCAATTAATAACAAATTCAAAATAAACACTATGTTTATGCACTTTTAGTGCACGAACTGTAAAAAATATGACACTTCAATTAAACACGTGCAACATTCTTTGAAAGGATAATAAAATCACCAAAAATCACATTGCATGCTTTGATCTTTGAACATAAAGTGTGTGGACCACCAGGGCGGCATAACATATTTTTAAAGTTTCTGACGTAATATACGTAAAATATGTTGTATATACATACGTATGTAAAGAGGAAGTTCCGAAATGTGACACGATGATGTCGATTACACACTTATCGATTCGCTCCGCTTTTCCGTAAGACAAACAAAGACAAAGATAGTATCTGTCTTTGTCTATCTCTCGCAAAGCGTTCCGGCAATTCACAGCAACTTGGGGTTGGTTTCCATTGTTCCCAGTCCCCACTGGCCAAAATCCCCATTCGCTATTTGTTATAAATCTCTTCAACTACCGCACCCTGCTCTAGTGAAAATTATGTAACTTTATAGTAACTTTTAATTTTAACAATAAAGTCATTAAATTTTTACTAGAGGTGCGGTAGTTGACGAGAATTATGACAAATGGCGAGTGGGGACAATGGAAACCAACCCAAAGTTCCATGCGCTCACAACCCATCTCTGGTTCCCCCTCGCCATTTGTCATAATTCTTGTCAACAACAGCACCCTGCTCTTTCTAGTGAAACGTTAGTAATTTTATTGTTGAAATTAAAAGTTAGGCTGCAGTCCCATGGCAGCGTTTTGCGTTGCGTTTTGTCACTAGACCCTGAGTGTAAACATAGCAAACATATATCTGCATCTCTTTTACACTCATGGTCTAGTGACAAAACGCAACGCAAAACGCTGCCATGGGACTGCAGCCTTAAGGTACGGTCACACGACTTTTGGAAAAACCATTCTTGTCTTTCTCTCTCCTATTACAGACGCATAAGTTTGTCTCACTCTGCATTTTCCGTCTTTGGGAAATGTAAGAAAATGCAGAGTGAGACAATCTTATGCCTCTGTCTTAGGAGAGAGAAAGACAAGAATGGTTTTTCCAAAAGTCATATGACCGTACCTTTACACGGAAAAACAAGGACACTTCATACTTCCCAATTATACATGTTATCAAAAGTGCGACAAAAATCCCAATTAGGAAACGATCTAGATCTGCATTAGGGTACGGTTACACTATCTCATGCTGCTATTTCAAATGGGTGACATCACACGTTAACGTCATAACGTAACGTTTACGTGCTGATTCTGGACTCAGCTTTAGCATTGCAATGCGAATATTGTGACGTCATTGTAAACTCAGCATAAATGTCGGTTCTACAATGGGCACGTTTGTACGTGAACGTATGACACGTTTCCATAAAGTTGGTTCTACAATAAGCGCGTAGGACGTTGACGTGTACCTACACTGTAAAAAGTATTAAAGGAATTTTCCCTGTTTGAAAGAGGAAACGATTTTTTCCCACTTTTAATGTGTCACTTTTACATAAACAAGTGATTGTACCATATTAAAAATGTCAATATTCCTTGGTTTCGTAAAAGAAAAATTCCCATCTTCTGGATACTTGACATTTTCAACATGGTAAGGTTACGTTTCGGTAATGGAATTTTTCCATCTGCTGTAATTTCGCCATCATTAATCATTTTACCTCATTGAATGTGGGAACGATTATTACCCTCTTTGAAAAAAACAAAATTACCATCAAAGAAAGGAAATTTACCGCGGATTTGAAAATCCCAATATTCAATATATCAAAATTACAATATTTAGTATTCTTCCATTTTTGCATATGTATTTTCCCCACATTTAAAGTAATATTATTACTAGAGATTTTAAAAGAAAAATTGCCGTCGCTGGAAAAATTTTTTTGGATTTTTTACAGTGTAATGAAAGAAAGGGGTATAGATGTATATCTCCGTACCCCTCTCTCTCTCATTAGGTAGACGTTCACGTCAATGTCCGACGCGCTTATTGTAGAACCAACTTAAAGTCAGGTCTACAATTGGTACGTCACGACACGTTTGGTTGGTTATAATAATCTCCACTTGTCATTTATCATAATTCTCGCCAACTACCGCACCCTGCTCTAGTAAAAATTTAGTAACTTTATTGTTAAAATTAAAAGTTACTATAAAGATACTAAATTTTTACTAGAGCAGGATGCGGTAGTTGACGAGAATTATGACAAATGGCGAGTGGGGACAATGGAAACCAACCACTTATACACTCGTGGACAGATAATCCTACACATTTTTATTTTTTTCTAATGCACGTGTTGCCATTGACAACAGGTGAGTTAGAAGAGGACAAAAAAAGTGTTGGCATATACACTCGTGGCCAGATATGCCTACATATTTTTGTCCTCTTCTAACGCACGTGTTGCCATGACAACATGTGTGTTAGAAAAGGATAAAAAAGGGTAAGCAATATACGGTCAAAAGTGTACGTACGTTACCATGATGGAGCTTCTACAATAAGTCCGAAAGTAAAGTCCAAGTCCGAGTGGCTCGAACTTTGTTACGCGCGCATCGTGTAATTTTTATTTTTTTAAGATAATTGATAGTAATTACTCATTATTAATTAATTAATTGTTAAATTATTAATTAATTACTCATAATTTAATAATTAATTACTATTTATTATCAAATATCTTACAAAAATAAAAGTCAACACGATGCGCGCGCAACAAAGTCCGAGCCACTCGGACTTGTACTTGCACTTGCCTCTCGGACCTATTGTAGAAGCTCCATGACAACCTACAGACGGGTAGTCTGCAGAGCTGTGACCACTCTTTTAAATTATTTTTTTCATTGTAGAAAAGCCAATGATGAGCAATAGTGGTGACGTATAGTGGCGTGATTTTCATATAAATTTTTCATTGGATGTTGTGGTGTTTTGAACTGTCAATTAGTTAAACAAAAAGGTCATGTATCCAAAGAGGAAATTACCCTCTTAAATTTTGCGTATTTAGTAAATATTGCAAAAACTTGCATTTTCTTTCATAAGAATATAAGCAGACACTAATTTTAACATTTTCTCCAAATGACATAAATGTTTAATTAGAATTTTATTCGCATAAAAAAAAACACTCAAAATGACTGAGTCAGATAGTTTTACATCAAGATCGGAAAATGATTTTTCTAATCTATCCAATAATGACAGTCTTGATTTTAATGAATTAAATGGATTTTACGGTATGTTTTACATTATATATGTATTTATTATAAAAATTATTTAGATTAATTTTATGCATGCTTGTGTACATTAAAAACAAACACAAATACTTGGCAGTTTATTAATTGTCAATTTCAAATTTTTAATTATGTAACTTTATAATTTTTATCATATAATATTTGTGAAAATATTAATTTTTTTAATTTTTCGCTAACGCAGTGTCAACAATGAATGACGCAATTTGATTGATAATTTTCTGTATGTTTATATTTACAGATCTCTTTACAAATTGTGAAAATGAATTATTGAAAAATGAAAATCTCTTCAGTGATGAAGTTTTACTCACTGAAATGGATAAACCGGAACCAATGATTAGTGATGATTTGAATTTTTTAAATATTGAAAACTCAACTATTTTCAATGACAAAAAGGAAATTAAGTCATCGAATTCATCAAATTTGATGGCTGATAATAAAAAATTACAATTTGCAGAGACTATTCCATTACAGATAAAACAGCAAAATGTGCACGCAGCACAAACTTTATATAGTCCTCATTATACTGTTCCTCACAGTATTAATTTAAATGTTTCAACTCCTGTGGTTACTCTCACATCAGTTCCAACACAGCACAGTCATTTAATTTTACCTTCTAATTTAATTAAATCAGAATCTGTTATTTATTCCGGTGGAACTCAAACTGTTGCATCTGCTTCAATGCCGCAATTGCATACACTTGTGAATACTTCAAATGGAACTGTACTTACAACAGGTAAATAAACTATTTATCATTTGGTAAATAGTCGTCATTTTTTGGTTGTTCACAGATTACAGTTTTTTTAATTGCCTGCCGTCAGGAAAATGCTTATTCAATTGTCAATTCAATATAAATCTATCTCAAAAATAAAAGCAAGATGAAATTAACACAGAAATTTATGCAAGACAATTCTTAATAACACAGGCACACAAAAAAAAAAGTTGTCTGTTTCTTGAACTAGACATATATTTCCTATAGTATTTTGACCCGCTGAAACCGAATCTGAGGTCAGAATTGCTCCATCACCCTCAGTTTTTTTTTAAATCGACCAAAACCACCCTTAAATGGACAAATTCACACTTCGGAGATAAAAAATAAATCAACTTATTTTTTTAAAAAATCGAATTTTACATATACGAAACTTTGCTCCACTAACTCTAAAACAAAGCCAGCATTGATCCAGCACCCCCTGAATTTTTTTAATTGATAAAACTACCCCTAATCTGCAGAATCAAATTCAGAAGATAAAACAATAAAATAACAGATTGACAAATTTTATAACCAGATATTTTTACTCCAGCAATGCAGAAACAAGCCAGAAATGCTCCCTTACCCACTAAATTTTTTTTTTTAATCGAAAAACCACCCTTAAATAGAAAAATTCAAATTTAGGAAGTAAAAAAATATTAAATTAACGGCTTTTTTTCAAAACAGAACCTTACATGTATGTAGTTTTGCTCTACTAACTTAAAAAAATAAAGCCAGCATTGATCCACCACCCTCTGAATTTTTTTAAATCGAAAAAACTACCCCTCATCTGCAAAATCAAATTCAGGATGTAAAACAATAAAATAACTGATTGACAAATTTTATAACCAGGTATTTTTACTCCAGAAGGCAGAAACAAAGCCAGAAATGCTCCCTCCCCTCTAAATTTTTTTTAAATCGAAATAACCACCCTTAAATAGAAAAATTCAAGTTTAATAAGTTAAAAATATTAAATTACCGTTTTTTTTGGAAAACAGAATCTTACATGTATGTAGTTTTGCTCTTCTAACTCAAAAAAATAAAGCCAGCATTGATCCATCACCCTGTGATTTTTTTTAATCAAAAAAACTACCCTTAACCTGAAGAATCAAACTTAGGAGATAACACAATATAATTATATTAAATTACCTTCTAAGTTTGATTCTTTGGTGGTTTTTTCGATTTAAAAAAATTTTAGAGGGTGCGGGAGCATTTCTGGCTTTGTTTCCGCATTGCTAGAGTAAAATTACCTGGTTATAAACTTTTTTAATCAGTTATTTTATTGTTTTACCTCCTAAATTTGATTCTTCAGATTAAGGGTAGTTTTTTTGATTAAAAAAATTCAGGGGGTGCTGGATCAATGCTGGCTTTGTTTTTGAGTTAGTAGAGCAAAACTCCATACATGTAAGGTTCTGTTTTAAAAAAAAGCCGGTAATTTAATATTTTTTTACTTCCTAAATTTGAATTTTTCTATTTGAGGGTGGTTTTTCGATTTAAAAAAATTTAGAGGGTGAGGGAGCATTTCTGGCTTTGTTTTTGCATTGCTGGAGTAAAAATATTTGGTTATAAAATTTGTCAATCAGTTATTTTATTGTTTTACATCCTGAATTTGATTCTTCAGATTAGGGGTAGTTTTTTCGATTTAAAAAAATTTAGAGGGTGGTGGATCAATGCTGGCTTTATTTTTTTTAGTTAGTAGAGCAAAACTACAAACATGTAAGGTTCTGTTTTGAAAAAAAGCCTGTAATTTAATATTTTTTTACTTCCTAAATTTGAATTTTTCTATTTAAGGGTGGTTTTTCGATTAAAAAAAAAATTTAGTGGGTAAGGGAGCATTTCTGGCTTTGTTTCTGCATTGCTGGAGTAAAAATATCTGGTTATAAAATTTGTCAATCAGTTATTTTATTGTTTTATCTTCTGAATTTGATTCTGCAGATTAGGGGTAGTTTTTTCAATTAAAAAAATTCAGGGGGTGCTGGATCAATGCTGGCTTTGTTTTTGAGTTAGTGGAGCAAATTTTCGTATATGTAAAATTCGATTTTTTAAAAAAATAAGTTGATTTATTTTTTATCTCCGAAGTATGAATTTGTCCATTTAAGGGTGGTTTTGGTCGATTTAAAAAAAAACTGAGGGTGATGGAGCAATTCTGACCTCAGATTTGGTTTCAGCGGGCCAAAATACTATAGGAAATATATGTCTAGTTCAAGAAACAGACAACTTTTTTTTTGTGTGCCTGTGTAATCACTACTTTTTTTTTGACATTAGAGACATTTCATATGACAATACGGGGTCATGTCTCGGATTTTTCTGAAAATTCCGTAAATTGTAAGGATAGTGGTGCTAAATAAGTGTACAAACTTTGAATTTGAAATTTTTAATAATTTTCGAGATATTTACAATAACAAATTAGAGTAATATTTTTTTGCTTTACTTTTCCTTACTAAAAATAGAGAAAAATGTTGAGAATGTTTTTTACGCAAAAGACCTTAAACTTTTAGAAAAAAATTATTTTTTTAAAAAAAATATTAATTTTTAAACAATTTGTTTATAACTTTTAAACATGTTCTCCCTCATTCAGAAGAGTGAAAAAAATCATAAATATTGTTTAAGTCATAATAAATCGATGGTTAAATTTTTGAGATAAGAAATTAAATATTTTACGAATATTTTGATATAACTTTGAAAATAAAACAAATGAAAGGATAATTCATTTTTCACGATTAACTAGTTAAATTTCGATAAATTTTTTTTTATTTTTAATTTTTAGACGTTATAAATTGAAAATATAATTTGGCGTTTGCATACAAGAATTATAATAATGTCTTTATATAATCACACATGTTTTCAACTCATCATATTTTATCCTGTAGTTGTGCTACTGAAAAAAGGCTATGTTGAAAATGGTTCACATATTTTTTATTACTTTCAAAACATTCTTCAATAAGTAAACTATAATTCACCACAGTTTGGAAATGTTCGGATCTATGCCGAACAAGTTATACCTATAAGAATTAAAATTTATACCTGGAGTAACACCGTAAATTTCATTTTTTAAGTTACTTAATTCGATTTTATTTTTTATAAAAGACTAGAAGGTTCACATTTATTCAATTTTCTTATTTCAATAGGTTCTCAGAGATATTACAAAATGGTTGAAGTATGAAAATAATTAATATAATACTTCTAAAATAGAAAAATATGTGAGTAACATAAAATCGGCCGGTTCTGTGGATTTGCCCATATTTTAAAAATAATTATTTATTTTCTTATTACAATATAATATAATAACTTTTCAAAGCTTGATTTATTTTGCTTGAAAATGTTTACTAAACAGTTTTTCGAGTCGCTGATTAAAAAATTGAAGGTATATCTTGAAATTTTAAAACCCCACTTTTTTATGCTCAACATTTTTTTGTGGATTGTCTTCACCTTGAATAATATTTTCTATAAAAATTTAACTTGTGCCCGATTCTGGTAGAAGAGAAAAATTTTTTTACACTAGTTATAAAAAAAATTTCCTTAAGGGGACTCTTTCTGATTTAGAATTGACAGAAAAGACATGTTTTAAAACTTCTATTGCAAGAAAAGTATTAAATAAATTGTAAAAATAATTTGTAGAGATTGTTGCACATCATTACGTAGAGAAAATTAAAAAAAAATGTTTGAGTGTATTTATCTTTTTTTGGTGCACTTGATTTCGGACTAAATTTTTAACGGGAATCTTCATAATAGGGTTTATTCTAGACATTAAACCTAAAAAAAGGATTTTTTTTATTTTTTATGTACATTTTTCTCAAAAACTCGAAAAAACGCCGTATTTTTGGAGCAATTTACCCCCGTATAAAAAAACAGGGGTAAAAAATATAAAATTTTAAAGGTTTATTCTCTAGTTTTTTAAATAAGGGATCGAATAATCTTTGGTTATTTAAAATCAATTCGGTAGATTTCGAGTAAAGCCGTGCACCAGTTTGAAAAATGTGTTTTCGAGAAAAACGCGTTTAAAGTTTTGATAACATAATAATTTTGTTTTTTTACATATTTTTTAAAATACGTTTTGAGACAGTAATTCTATGATACTAAGGAACATTTTTAAGCAAAAAAAAAATAAATTTTTTTTAATTCTATACCAGAAAGTTTCCTGAATAAAAGTTGTTCCGCTTTAAAAAATGTGAAAAAATATCTGTTGGCATTTTGCGTTTTTATAGTTTTTTAAGCGAAACAACTTTTATTCAGGAAATTTTTTTATAACTAGTGTAATTTTTGAGAAAAATTGAATTTTTCTAGGAAAATAACAGAAAAAAAATTTTTTATCTTCTACCATAATCGGGCACAAGTTTAATTCTTATAAAAAATATTATTCACGGTAAAGACAATCCACAAAAAAATTTTGAGCATAAAAAAGTGGGTTTTTTAAGTAATTTAAATTTAAAGTGTTTTTTTAATAAAAAGTAGCCGCCATTTTGTTATTTTTAAACATTTTTTTAATTTTTTCAACGGATTTTGAAAAAAAAATGAAAGCTCTTTCAAATGCAAATAGAAAAAATGAGATAACTAAATTACTTTAAAAGTTATAACACTTTAAAGTTTTTTCCCTAAATTTTAGATAAACGACATTTTAGACTTAAAAAATGAAAATTCTTCTATCTTTTTATAAAAAAAATTTTCGGCTAAACAAAAAAATACCGGTTGTCTAAAATTCTCCGAAAAACAAAATATTTTGAGGTCGAAATTGAATTTTATTCTTGACCGAGTCAAATCTGCCTGATTTGAAATTGAACTTTAGCTTCAGTTGTCATTTTCTTGCAATGGATTTTGAGATAGATTTATATTTTTATATTTTGTTAATAATAATTAAAATATCGAATGCTATTAATTAAAAATTATAATAATTACTTCGGCAAAGATCATTTTACTGATTGTATTGATGACATTCAAATAGTTATTTCGAAAATGATCGAAATTGACACAGAAACGAGAAATTATCGGATTGAATGTAGTACTAATCCTAGAAAGGAGTATATGAATTTTCTCACCCTCTAAAGGGTAACTGGTCTAGAAACCTCAACTTGAAACTTGTGTATAAAGGTTTCTATTTGACATTAAACTAATTATATATAGTGATTTTTTGGTTTTTTAGTAAGGAAAACAATAGTTTTATTGATTTTTTGATCAAATAAAAATAAGTTGTAAAAAAATTTTTTTTTCTGTGCTTCATAAAAATCGTATGGCATCGATTCCATATTAAGGTTAAAGAAGAGAAAACAACATTTTACCAAAATAAAAAGTATTATTTTTTTTTTTATCAAAAAAGAATATTTAATATTTTTTACAGGAATTCCTGTCATGTTAGATACAGATAAAGTTCAAATAAATCGTCTTAATACAACGTCAACCACTGGAATGCCTCGTGTTAAAGAAGTAAAACGCAGTGCACACAATGCTATTGAGCGAAGGTACAGAACTTCAATTAATGACAAAATAGTCGAATTGAAAAATATTGTTGTAGGAGTCGATGCAAAACTTAACAAGTCTGCAATTTTGAGAAAGACCGTTGACTATATCAGGTAAAATTTGTTATTATAATTTAATGTGTACACAATTATTTTATTAAATTTAATCTTATAGTTACATTTGGTATTAATTTTTTTTTTTATGAACTCTACAAAGAGACATTTGTGAATTTTTATTACTTTTATGTATTATTAATTGGAGAAAAATTACGTAGGCTTACAAAATTTTGTCAGACCCAGAAACTGGAATAGTCAATTTCCTATTTAATTTGTCACTCTGAATCCAAAAATGACAGCAAAATTGTTCTATCATGTCAGAATTTTTTTTTAAATTCGCTGATTACGAATACGATGTAAAATTTTCAAAATTCAAAATGGCGAATAAATTTTGTAAAATTCGGTCCAATTTGCTTGAAATTCGTTTTACTTGGGGGTTTCCGAGGCGCTGATTACAAATCCAAGGTCAGATTTTCAAAATTCAAAATAACAAATCTTATATAAAAGTTTTTCAAAATTCAAAAAGGCGCACTGTTATTTTATTTTAACTGACTTTAGATTTGCAATGGATGACTTAGAAACGTCCAACTAAAATAGAGCAAATTTCAAGGGAAATTTAATTGATTTTCAAAATTGAAATTGGATCTTTTTTTTTAAATCAGCAATCCCAAAAACCCACGAGTAACGATTTTCAATCGAATCCAATGAAATCTAAAAGTTTTGTCCGCCATATTGGATTCGACATTTTGAAATTTAAAAAACTGACATCGGATTTGTAATCATCGATCGCAAAAACCACCGAGTAAAGATTTTCAGGCGAATCTGGTGAATATTCTAAAAGAGTCCGACATATTGGATCTGAAATTTTGAAATTCAAAAATATGACATCAAATTCATAATCAGCGACACTAAAAACCCCCGAGTAATGAATGTCAAGCAAATCCGGTAAATTTTTTTAAAAACTGTCCGACATATTAGATCCGCCATTTTGGATTTCAGAAATCTGACATCAGTTTTGTAATTAAAGAACTCAAAAACCACCGTAAAAAAGCTTTAAAGTAATTTGCAATTTCATTTTTCTTTTTTTTTTAGTTTTTAAGTCGTGAAACGTAAAATTTAAATGGCTGTATCTTAGAGAAAAAAAACGGATCGGATCGAGCCAATAAAATTTTGTAAGGGGAAATATAGTTCTTTCTTTGAAAATTTGGAACAATAATTAAAAAAAATTTTTGTAGATTTTTATTTTTTTTTTTTTTACAATTTCGTTGTCATTTTTGAATTTAGCGTGACAAATTACATTCGGAAATTACTATTTCGGTTTCTGGGTCTGAAATTTGTAGTCCTGTGTTATTAATTGAAAAAAGATTATTGTGATGACACATTCTATATAATTTTTTTTTTTTTTTTTTTTTTTTCTGTAAAAGAAGGGTTCTAGTGGAATAAAACTTCTGCATTGGTTTTCGTGAATTTTTGTCATTTAAACGGTCTGACTAAGATATTTGATGAGCGCAACTCAAAAAAAAATTAAACTATTTAATTGTTGTCTACAGGTTTCTACAGAATTCGAACATAAAATTAAAAAATGAAAATTTGGCTTTAAGAATGTCAGTTCAACGACAAAATGTAAGTGATATAATTTCATGTGGAGAATTAACACCTCCACGTTCTGAAACAAGTGAACCACCATTGTCACCAACTTCTGGACCACCATCACCTATTTCAACTAAAGATGAAATAAGTTCATCACGTAGCTCCAATATTCCAACAGTTTCTACAAGTCAAGGAATTCCAGATCACACACGCGTTACTCTTTGTGTTATTTTATTTGTTTTTCTAATATTCAATCCTTTTGGAATCATCGTAAACAAAATGGCAAAAATGGATTACAATTATTACAGTTCAAGGTTGGACGGTCGGACAATACTCAACTATGAAGGTTAGTGTGTTCATTTGAAATATATATTTATTTTTAAACATTTTGGTAAATATTAGATACTTCATTTTTCAATAAGAAAGATAAAAAAAAATTTTTAATCTTTTTCTAAGTTATAATTTTCCTTTAAACATGTTTAAAAATTTTAATTACAGAAAATTCGAATACTGAAAATAAAATGTGGATGCACATATTACTTTGGTTTGTCAATATTGCATTCTTCGTTGGAGCATTAATTCGACTGTTATTGTTTGGTGATCCAATAATACCTGCTGATAATAAAATAATATTTGAATTGCGAAGATGGAGAAGACAAGCTGAATTTAATATTTCAAATCTTGACTATGAGCATGCTCATCGTGATTTATACAGATGTTTACAATATTTTGGACGTTCATTACCATCGACACGTATAGAAATTTTTCTTGCAACCTTGTGGCAATGTATTAGACAAATTTTGAATAAATTTTGGCCCTGCAAATGGATATTATTGGCTGGTAAATGGTTATCTGAAAAATCAGAACGCAAATCAATTGAAACATCTGCAATGGAATTAGCTGCTGTTTATCAACATATACTTCGTTTATCATTTTCTGAAGGATTAACTAAAAATTCATTGTTTCTTGCACTTTCAATGATTAATTATGCTGAGAATGCTGGTAATATTATTTCAAAAACAATGTTAGCCGAAATTTATATTGATGCTGCTTTATGTTTTAAGCAATCTATTTTTCCGCTTGTTCATAAATATTATTTGGGAAAAGCTCGAAGTTTATTATTGTCTTATCCGGCGCATTCAAAGATGAAATGGATTACAACTGAAGATGGTTTTAGATTTTTAGTAACTCACAATTGGAAATATGGTCAACTAATGGAAAGTGAATTTACCTCACAAAGTAATGCTTTTGAACCATTGTCATATGCTGCTCGTGCCTATAGAGAATATCTTATTGAACAAGGATTGAGACTTCTAACTGGAACAGCCTACAGTAATTCACATGCTTCGACTGCTGTGGAAATAGGAAAGCGCATCATTGATACTGTGAGCATTGATACGAGTTTTGTACACGCCACAGAAGTTAAATCTACAGGTAAGTTTTGTTACTATGAATCTTTGCTAATAATAATTTGATTTAGCAAAAAAAAAAAAATATATATTTATTTCCATCTTTATTTTAACCCATTAAGGGGTAACATCATTAAAAATAATTTTTTTTAAATGGCGCCTTTTCATCACTTCAACCAAAACTGCGTTTTTTAAAAACAGCCTCAACCGGCGGAGGGTTTTCTACCTTCCATGAGTACCTAGACAAAAAATTTAAACGAATTATGAAAGAAGATGTTATTTACTAGAAAAGTACGTAGGGTATTTCAAAATTATTGATTTTTGTCAAAATTGCATGTTATTTATGACAAAAATTTCATTTTTTTTTTAAATCCTACTTTCTAGTTTTGAGAAAAACGAGTTTAAAGTTTGCAGTCATAAAAACATAACTTAATACTTTAAAATGTTGAGCTATGCTAACAAAAATTAGTACTCGGAGGTTTTCTAATAATCTAAACATTTGAGTACCTATACATTTGAGTTAAAAGACCCCGCACCAAGTACATGGGAAAAATACTCTCGGTTAAATTTCTTATAACTTTGCAATTTTGTAGCTTTTGACCTCCTGAACAAAAAACGTTAATGACAAAATCCAAAAAATGGACAGATTTTTTGTAAAATGAGGTTAAAGTGGAAAATTCGAAGTGAGCCAGATGTAAACACTTAAAAATGAGTTGAACCCAAATAATTGAATTAACTAGTTTGAAACTTATTACACAGGGGTTTTTGGGGTCACTGATTGCGAATCCAGTGTTAGTTTTTAAAAATTCAAAATGGCGGATCCAATGTGGCAGACGATTTTTTAAAATTTACATCCAATTCACTTGAAACATGTAACTTGGAGGTTTTTTGGGTCGATGAAGGCGATTCCAGAATTGGTGCAAAAGAAAAGTGCAAATCCAAGTCCAACTGCATATTCCATGAGAGCAAAAGAGACAAAGAGACTATCTATCTCTTGTACTCATGTGATTTGTACTTGAACTTCTTTTTTGCACCCATTATGAAATCGCCTTGACTAAGAATTCGATGTCAAATCTTCATTTTCTCATAGCTGGGTTAAAACAAACTATTACTTTTTGATTAAATATATTCTTTCAATTCTACGAAAAGAGAAATTGATTTTTTGTGAGTAGGAAGAGTTTTTTAAAAAGTCGTCCGCCATATTAGAGCCGCCATTTGGAATTTTTAAAAACTAACACTGGATTCGCAATCAGTGACCCCAAAAACCCCTGTGTAATAAGTTGCAAACTAGTTAATTCAATTATTTGGGTTCAACTCATTTTTAAGTGTGTAAACACATCTGGCTCACTTCGAATTTTACACTTTCACCTCATTTTCCAAAAAATCTGTTCATTTTTTTGGATTTTGTCATTAACATTTTTTGGAAAGTTACAAGAAATTTAACCGAGAGTATTTTTCCCATGTATTTGGTGCGGGGTCCTTTAAAGAATTAATGAAAGTTAAAAAATCAAAAATTCACATTTTAGCTGAAATTTCTAAATATTAATGAAAAATAATATATAATTTGTAATTATTTACAATTATATCGATTCGTTTTAATGCAAGGAACACAATTATTTTATATTTAAAGTTGAATTTAAATAAATACAAAAATTTTCATCTAAAATGTGAATTTTCTATTTTTTAACTTTCATTAATTTATTAAATTTACTTCAAATGTATACTTTATATATACCAATCGATTCGTTTTCATGCAAGGAATACAATTATTTCATCTATAAACTTAAATTTAAATAATCACAAAATTTTATAGCCAAAATGTGAATTTTTTGATTTTTTAACTTTCATTAATTCTTTAAATCTTCTATTATATTAAGTTAACAAATTTCGAAAAACGACACCGACCCCGTGACCTCGACACCGTCCTTGAAAAATCTATTTTCAATTATTTTCAAATAAATCAAAATACTTTGCATATATGCTTTTAGAAAATCTTACAAACTATTTTTATGTAACATCTTTTTTCAATTTTAACCCGAAAAAGGGTTATTTTTCAATTTTAACCCGAAAAAGGATTATTTTGCAATTTTATCCCGAAAAGGGTTATTTTGCAATTTTTTAAGAATTTTTTGATTTTTTCAATTTTTTATTATTATTTTTTATTATTTATTGTTGTTTCTTCAATTTTTAGTTAGTAACCTATAATATTGTGTCTAATTTTAAGTGTCATTAAAATCAAATGTTTTTAACTTAATAATTTTAACATTTCTTAATTTAAAACGAAACATCTTCTATTATATTAAGTTAACAAATTTCGAAAAACGACACCGACCCCGTGACCTCGACACCGTCCTTGAAAAATCTATTTTCAATTATTTTCAAATAAATCAAAATACTTTGCATATATGCTTTTAGAAAATCTTACAAACTATTTTTATGTAACATCTTTTTTCAATTTTAACCCGAAAAAGGGATATTTTTCAATTTTAATCCGAAAAAGGATTATTTTGCAATTTTATCCCGAAAAAGGGTTATTTTGCAATTTTTTAAGAATTTTTTGATTTTTTCAATTTTTTATTATTATTTTTTATTATTTATTGTTGTTTTTCCAATTTTCAGTTAGTAACCTATAATATTGTGTCTAATTTGAAGTGTCATTAAAATCAAATGTTTTTAACTTAATAATTTTAACATTTCTTAATTTAAAATGAAACATCTTCTATTATATTAAGTTAACAAATTTCGAAAAACGACACCGACCACGTGACCCCGACACCGTCCTTGAAAAATCTATTTTCAATTATTTTCAAATAAATCAAAATACTTTGCATATATGCTTTTAGAAAATCTTACAAACTATTTTTATGTAACATCTTTTTTCAATTTTAACCCGAAAAAGGGTTATTTTGCAATTTTATCCCGAAAAAGGGTTATTTTGCAATTTTTTAAGAATTTTTTGATTTTTTCAATTTTTTATTACTATTTTTTATTATTTATTGTTGTTTTTTCAATTTTTAGTTAGTAACCTATAATATTGTGTCTAATTTTAAGTGTCATTAAAATCAAATGTTTTTAACTTAATAATTTTAACATTTCTTAATTTAAAACGAAACTCTTCTATTATATTAAGTTAACAAATTTCGAAAAACGACACCGACCCCGTGACCCCGACACCGTCCTTGAAAAATCTATTTTCAATTATTTTCAAATAAATCAAAATACTTTGCATATATGCTTTTAGAAAATCTTACAAACTATTTTTATGTTACATCTTTTTTCAATTTTATGATAAATTTTATACAATATTAATAAGATATTAATTTAAAACATAAATTCTAAATATAATATACATAAACTACAATAAGTAAACAACAATAAGTACAATTTTAACCGAGCGAGCGTTAGCGAGCGAGGAATACATCGCTAGTTTAAATTAAAACTATATACTTTATATATGTTACCGGCAAAACCCGAAATTGAGACCGAAATGCCTATACTTTTCAGGAATTATCCGAACTTCCTAGCGATTCATAGGCATTTCCCGAACTGCCTAGGCATTTCGTGAAGTGTCCAAGTCGATTTAGGCAAATTGAAATGTTAAAGATAGATTGACCAGAATATATCGTTAGTCTGTTTAATATTTGAAAAGAAGATAAAATTTGTAATCTTTCATGTCAGTTATTTTTTACTACGCATGGTGTTACTATAATCAAAATATATTGAAAGTATTAATATAACAAACATTTAATGTTTTTCTATGCCATTAAATTTTTTAATCTTTAAGTAACAATAACGTTTTCTTACCTCTTCTGCACGTTTCGATTTTAAGGGACGAAGAAGAACAAATTTCGTCAAATGGTCTTGATATACCATTATGAATTTAAATTCTTTATCTGCCTGGGATTGCAAATCAATTAAATCAACTTGACACCGACTATTCATTTCGTTGTGGAGAATTGGTTTGGAAACTAAACCTCGCTTTCTTTTAATTTTTTTTTGATGACAAACTTCACACATTGAAAGAAATTTCGAAATTATATCACGCGTTATGTTTGCATATTTTTTATTAATTTCATTAAGCATACGGTCACGTCCTCCGTGACCTAAAGCATAATGTGTTTCTTTCAAAATATCAAAAATATTTTCCAGAGAAATAAAATATTTTACATCGCTATCGTCGTTGCACTTCGCGATCAATTTTGAAATGCCTGAGACTTCTAAGACATCGTACCTTTTCAGCCTCCTATATTGGCGACTAGTTTTTGGACCATTTAACTTTATTTCCATCATATCCTTTAAGATTTCGTCATATTCTTCTTGTATAATTATTTTGTACTTAGTCGAATTATTACTAACGGCACAATAGAATTCTTCTTTCCACTTATTCAAATTTTCGTCAGTCATCTTTATCACGACAAGTCAAAAGAGACACTGAACCACAGTCAACAATAACTGCGAACTGCTAAATATATTTCTATTACTATTTATTAATTCCATAATTGATATAAAATTTTGTAAACAGTGTGTTTACATCCATTCATGGCCTTCTATCTTTAACTGTTCAATTTGCCTAAATCGACTTGGGCATTTCGCGAAATGCCTATGAATCGCTAGGAAGTTCGGATAATTCCTGAAAAGTATAGGCATTTCGCGAATTGCCTCAACTTCGGGTTTTGCCGGTAACATATATACCGACCGATCTGTCTTGACGTAAGGAATGCGATTTTATTATATATAACCTTAAATTTTTCTATTTAAAAAATTTTTTCGATTAAAAGAAAAATTTTTGGAAAAAAGACGATAAAATTTTTTTTTTGGGTATTTTTTAAAATCCTTTGGTCAGTTTTGAGATATTAATATGATAAATAAGCCTACCAATATTTATCCAAATCTATTAAAACCTGTTAAAGTTACCTTCTAAACAAATAAAGGATCCACACACACATTCATACATCCGGACAATTGATCAGGATCTCATATAACATGTTTCTATATAGAGAAAAATTTGTTTCCGCCACTTTGAAAATTTTTATAAAGGAAAGGACTAAAAATTTGACGGATTTACATAAAACATGTTGCTAGGAGGTTTTTGGAGTCGCTGATTACGAATATGATGTTAAATTTTTCATTTTTTTTTTGAAATTCAAAATGGCGGATCCAATATAGCGTAAATTTTTTTAAAAATGGTCAGTTTTACTTGAAACTTGTTACTCGGAGTTCGTAATGAGCGACCCGGAAAACCCCGAACTACAAGTTTCATGTAAAACCAAATGATTTTTAATATTTTTGTCCGCCATAATGAATCCGCCATTTTGAAATTTTAAAAGCTGATTTCGAATTCGTAATTTGCGTTCCATGTTTTTTTTTTTTTTTTGACTTAAAACTAATGGGATATTATTTCTAACACCCTAAGGTACCATTTAAGCAAAAATAAAAAAAAATCGATTTTTTGAAAGTGATTGAGTGATGTTATATCCCAAACATTTTTGACGCGATATTTATAACATTTATAGGTATTCTGAAGCGTTAAGCTATAAAAAATTTAAAAAAACTAAAAAAAATCGTGTTTTTTGAAAAAAAAACGTTAAATAATTTGTTTATTTATAAATTTTTAGTTTTTTAGAGCATGCCATTGGATAGAGCTATTTTTTTGCTGTAAGAAATGTGTATTGACAAATTTTTCTCATAACGTTTAAATGTTGAAAAATGTAAAAATTTTGTACTTATCGTCCTTAATGGGTTAAATCAGGCAAGCTGGAAATATTTTGTTTTTCAAAGATTTTTAGACGACACGTATTTTTTTATTAGTTGGTTGAAATAAATTTTTTATAAAGTTCTAACTAAGATTTTCTAAGTTAAAATTATTATTTTGCATCACTGTACATGGGTGCCAGTTTCAGTTTCATGTGATTCTCTGGGTAAAGGTAAATTTCTTATCAATTCTTTGATATTTACTAGTTGAAAATTTTTATTTTTGAAAAAGAAAATAGAATTAATACGAAAAGAAATAAAGACGAAATTATATCAATTTATAATTTAATCTGTTTCCTTTACCAAAAATAGAATTTTTTAATTTGTACGTAAATATCAAGAGATGGTAAAGAAGTTTACTTTTACCAACAGAATCACATGTACAGTGTTGCACTGAAAGTACAAAATTAAAATTACATTACATAATGACAAAACTTGTTATTCTGACAATTACAGGTAATTTTACTCATTATGTAAGAATATTTATCTATAATTATCCGTTTTTTTTTAAATTTTCCGTAAGGTTATGTCGTCTTTTCCTTTTTTTTTTAGCAAAAATATATAAAAAAGAAATGACTTTTGTTATTGATTCTTGTAGATTATGAAGATGAAATTGGACTTTGGTGGGGTGCAATTATTTGTTCTGCTGCTAATTGGAGATTAGGAGAAAATAGTTTGGTATCTCAGTGTATTGTTGAGGAAAAATTTCCTTTTGGAAAGCATTCTCAATTAAGTATTCACAATACTAATAGTAAACCTTTGCATCATGCTGCACTCTGTATAATTCGAGCAATGAAAGCTACTTCAAATGAAACTTTAACTAATCTCGTTGATCAAGCCGGATTATTGATGGAACAATCAATGGTTTATTATGACTGTAAACAAAAGTCATCTCAGAATTTTTTGGTATGAATCACAAATTTTTTATTTAAATTTTGAATTATATTTTTATAATACCTACATACGTACAAATAAAATTAGTCTATTTTTTTTGCTTTTGTTTCTTCTTACTTTTTCAAATTTTAAAGCTATTTGGAAATTTTATTTTTAATTGAAAGTTTAATTAAAATTTTTAGACGCATTCTTAAATAATTGAAACCAAATTATAAATTTTTGCTTTTAAATTAACGATAAGAAGAAATACTTTAATAAAATCTGAAAAATTTAGGTATTTTTGTATTAGAAATAATAAAAAATTGCAAATACTTGAAAGTAAAATGATTATTTAAATTTTATTTTTTTGATTAAAAAATCCGTTGCCCCAAATTTAAAAAAGGAGAGTATATATCGTACTTGTTGATAACTTAAATTTTATTGCAGTTGACACAGCTATGGATTTGTGATTGGCTACTTGAAAAAAGAACGACTATGTGGCAAGAAAATACTGTTAATCGAAATTTGCCATTAAGTCCAATGCTTTCTGCATTTCAGAGAGATTTATTGTGTCTTAAACATCTTTACCAACGTATTCCGGTAAGAGTATAGCAAGTTTTTTTATTTAATTATTTATTTTTTGAACTCCATTTGAGATTATAAAATTTTACTTATTTGAATAATTTTTTCAGGCATTATTTTCCAAAGTCGTTGTATATGAAGCCACAGCTCGTCTTATGGCTGGTGCTGCTCCAGTTAAAACACAAATTTTATTAGATCGCAGTGTACGTCAACGTAATTTACGTTCAACAATAATTTGTGGCAAAGATCGATCACCGGAACAAACTAGAGGAGAACGTGAACATGCAACAGCTTTATGTTTAGCATGTCGACATTTACCACCGTTATTGCTTGCTTCGCCAGGTGAACGTGCAGGAATGTTGGTAGAAGCAGCTAAAACTTTTGAAAGAATTGGTGATCGTATAAAACTTGAAAATTGTTATAAATTGATTCAACAGTTGCGTCCAGTCATTTCAGTTAATTAAAGATCTATTATATAATTTACATAATTGCACACAAAATGCATAAAATTGTAAACCTCAAAAAAAAAAAAAAAAAACTTTTTTTTATAAATCTATAAATAGATATATTTTTATCTTAAAATTAGATTAAGATAAATATTACAGTTAGTTTCAATGAATCAAATTCAATTTTTTTTTTATGTAATTAAATGTTTTTAGAGCCGCGTTAACTTAAAACAATACTTGAAAATTATCTAATTAACAGTGTTGTTTTTTTAAATTAGTTTTTAAAATAATGATTTTTCTTTAAATGAACGTATTTTAAAAGTTTTAATGTTAATAAAATGACGTTTATTAATATTAATTAAAACTTTTTGTTGCGAAATTGCGATAAAAAATTTGTAGAAACCACATGAATGAAGTTGCTTTATAATGTAAATAAAGTAAAAAACTGTACTTTTTTAATTCGTCTTGACTTATTTACTATATGGTGACTTGGAAGTACTTTAAATGCAGACACAAGAAGAAATAATTAGGAGTCGTATCTATTAGGAATCTATTTGCTTTGAGTTGGTTATTGTCAGGTGAGTTCCAATCTCAAATCAATACATTACTTTACTTGCTGTACTGGATAAAACGGTTTATTTTCAGAAGAACCACAGTTGAAAATTCTACTAAACTTTTTCAAAATCACATCTTTTTATAAAATTTGATTTAAATAAATTAAAAATTTCAATTAATAAAAGGAAACGCATGAATATGTTCATTAAATCATTAGTTAGAATTTTCATTTTATGGAATTTCATTTGTCATATTTTTGAGCCGAATTTTTATTTGTTCGAATTAGTATTTTACAGAATTTTCATCAAACCGATTTTCTATATTACACAATTTTTTTTATGTATAACTGAAAATTCACTTTACAGAATTTTTATTTGTTCGAATTTTTGTTAGAATTTTTATTGGGTAGAATTTCATTGCTTAGAATTTTTATTTTATTATTCCAGTTGAATTTTTATTTGTTCGAATTATTATTTAATATAATTTTCATATAAACGATTTTTCATTCTACAAAATATTTACTCAATCGAAAAATTGTTTAACAGAATTTCTAATTAATAGAATTTTCATTTGTTCGAAATTGCAAATGGACGAACAAAAAATCGACAGAAAGATTGCGACGCGATTTTTAAAATTAACCAATCACAATTTTATGGATAATTTTTGATTGGTTGATTTTAAAAATCGCTGCGCCAAAATCTTTCTGTCGATTGTTTGTTCGGCCATTTGCAATTTCGGACAAATGAAAATTCTATCAACTAGAAATTCTGTTAAATGATTTTACGGTGAAATAGTATGAAAAATCGATTATATGGAAATTATATCAAATAATAATTCGAGCAAATGAAAATTTACCTGAAAGAAAATTATATGTAATGAAATTCTGACGAATAAAAATTCTTAAAAATATCTATTGTGTTAAATGAAAATTCGAGCAAATAAAAATTCTATTAAGTAAATTTATTTCGGTTATATAAAAATTCTGTAATATAAAAAATCGGTTTGATGGAAATTCTGCAAATTACTAATTTGAACAAATAAAAATTCGGCTCAAAAATAATTATGACAAATGAAATTATATAAAATGAAAATTCTAATGAATAATTTTTAAAACATATTCATGCGTCCCAGTAATAGATAATAGTAATTGAATTTAAAAAATATGGACTAAATTGTTAATATAAATACATAACATTTTATTTATTTGCAAATACATGTGAAAAAAGTTACGTAATTTTTATATATATAATTAAAAAATTTTTTTTAATAAAATACTTCTATTTCTTTACTTTCTTCGGTCAACGCTGAATTTTTTTTCTTTCATGACGAGACAAAAGTCCTTTTTGCATTTGTACTCCATTCCATTTAGCTTCTTGGACTAAATATTTTCTGCACTCAATTTCGTATGAAATTTTGTCGACTGTCCAAGTATGTGGATGAATTATTAGAATCTGAATTTTATCAGCATTCTTTTTCAATATTTTACTATTTTCTCGTAATAAATTTATTAGTTGTGTAAAATCATTTTTTTATTTATCCGAAATAAAATTATTAATAAAAAGAAATTTCAATTTATTTGCTAAAATATCCACTTTTCGTTCAATACCTCCTACAATCGAATAATCTGAGGAATCAATTGGAATCTCATCAAATTCTATTAACATTGAGTTAACAATAGACATAAAATGATCTTTTTTTTTATTTAAATCTTCTTTACTAATTAGTTGAGACGAGCTTGTGTCTTCATTTGTTATCTAAAAGTTAAAATAAATCATATTAAATTGTAATTCTCTAAAGAGCAAAATACTGGACACAAATATTCACTACACTTTATTTTTACTTTCAATAAATTTTCAAAATTTTGTTACGTGCATTTTTTTGTCTCTCATTTTTTATAATATTTATGAACATTATTATTATTATTATTATTATTATTATTATTATTATTAAAAACTGCTGAAAATAATTATATTTTAATTTCTTATTCTTTTTATCATTTCATAATATTTAAACAACAAAAATGTAGCAATTTTTGTCACGTTATAATTTACAAAAAAAAAATAATAACTACCTCTAATGTAAAATCGCATTCTTCTATTTTGACACTTTCTTCCAAGGGATTGTTCAAATTTTCTTCTACCTGTTCGTTATCAACACTTTGATTTATATCAAGAATTGAATGTAATTCATCCTTAAACCAAACTTCATTCTTAAACTAAAAATAATAAATATAAAATAACATGTATTTTCTTTTACAAACAGTTGATGCTAGTTAAAAAAAATAAATACCTCTGATGTAAGATCGGTTTCTTCTAATTTATTATTACATTCAGAGGTACTGAACAAATTTTCTTCTACCTGTTCTTTAACAACATTTTGATTTAAATTGCGCCCTAGGAGAGAATCATCCTAAAACAAAAAATTTATTCTTGAAAAAAATATTTATTTCTATCAATATTTCAAATTAAAAAAAAAAAACTATAAGTATTTTTTTTAAATGCAAAATCTTTTATTTCAATATAAAACTAGTTTAATATTCATGAAAATTAATAATGAAGAAAAGTTAATTTCTTTTTTAAATTTCAGGCTTTACAGTGTTTCCCCTATTTTTTCTCTATTTTAAAAAATTTCCTTTTTGCCCTATTGTATGAATATCCCCCCCCCCATTTTTTTACTCATTTCCCCTTTTTTTAAGTTAAAATACAAATAATGGGATATTTCATAAAAATCCTTTGAACCTTTGAATTGATTGTTAATGAATAATCTTTTCAAAATATTTCACTTAAAAATTTGTAACATATTTCATTTTTTTATTTTGCAAATATTAAAAAATAATATGTCAGTAATTTTTCATTCTCACATTTCCTCAACATTTCGCTGAAATTTTTCGTACAATGGGAACTGCAATATTTCTTATAGGCGGACATTTCATTGCTTGCATCAAAATTTCATGGACCTTTCATTGAAATATTTCGAATCTTTCAATGAAATATTCAGGACAAATTCAGGAAATTTTATGTGCTGTGTGGGTTATCATGAATTACTTTGTATTACTTTGAATTATCTCGAATTACAATGAATTATCTTAAAGTATATGAATTATCCTTCATCTGAAGTATCGGCAATTATAATGAATTGAATATTTTGAATTATCTCGAATTACTATTAATTATCTTGAAGTATATGAGTTATCCTTTATCAGAACTATTGTAAATTATCATGAATTATCTTGAATTACTTTGAATTATCTCGAATTACTATGAATTATCTTGAATTAACTTGAAGTATATGAATTATCCTGAATTATCTGAAGTATCGTGAATAATCATGAATTATTTTGAAGTATGAAGTAGGTGAACACCAAATTTTTTAGTTGTTTCACCCTCGTAATTACGTAAAAATTCTCTAAAATTTAATTATTGTCTCAAGTTAGTAAAAAAATTTTAGCATTTGAATTTGAATCATAATTTATAAAAATTTCAATTTAAAATCTCCTGAAAATCAATTATTTTTAAAAATTTTAACTGCAACTCTTCTAAAATTAAATTGTTTTCTAAAATTTTCTTCGATAAATTTATTATTTTTAATATCTTATATCAAAATTTTATGAAAATTTTATTATTTAAAACACTTTCTCAATATATAATTTTATCTTAAAATTCAGTTATTTTCTGAATTTTATAAACAAATATTTCGCAATTTGAATTTACGAAAATTTTCATTAAAAATATCCTGAAATTTAATTTTTTTCAACAATTCTAACTGAAACTATTTTAAAATTTATTAATTTTTTATTAACTTAAATTTTTTGTTGAATTAATTATTTCTGATAATTTTAATCAAAGTCTTAAAAAATTCAAATTAACACATTTCTCAATTAAAATTTTTTTTTTAAATTCAATTATCTTCTGAACTTAGTTAAAATTCTTTCTCAATTCAAATTTACCAAAATTCTTTTTGTATATTTCCTGAAATTTTAATTATTTCTGAAAAACTTAAATATATCTCTTCCAAAATTTGTATATAAAAAATTCTTCGTTAAATTAATTATTTCAATCATTTTAATTCATTTTTTCAAAAATTCAAATTTTGTTATTAAAAATTCTTTAAAATTCAATTACTGTTTAAAATTTTGTTAATAATATTCAGCAATTCAAATTTACAACAATTTTAATTAATAAATTAATTTTTTTCAATAATATTTTAATTAAGTTCTTTAAAAATTTAATTATTTAAAACATTTGCTAAAATTTTGAATATGAATAATTTGGACAATGACTTGGATTTTTTTCTTTTTTAAAAGTAACTTTAAATTATTATTTTTCAAAATTTGTCATACTGAATTGAAATCTTGAAAATTTGTTATAGTTTAGTTCTGAAGTTTAAAAAAGAAAGTTAATGGAAATGTTCCTGTGAAACATTCTTATTATAGAATTAGAAAAAATTTATTTCATTTCTAATAATTAATGTTAATAATAATAAAATATTTTTTAACTAATAAAATTTATTAAAAATAAAAAATATCGACTTTTTCGATTTTTGTTGTAATAAAAATCGACTAAAACGTCTCTCTTTGTCTTTCTAAAGTCAATTAGAAAAATTGGATATATTATTTTTTAAGAAAATTAATTGAAAATTTTTTTTTTTTAATTTAATTTGAATAAATTTAAAGTTTCTTTGAAAAATATGAATAAAATCAAGTATTGTATATTTTACAAGACGGTTTTCGGTTTGATAAAATAAAAAAACTACTTGCATTTTTCAAGAAATAAAATAGTTTAGAAATAATTTTCATTTTGTGAAAAAATTTATTTTAAAATAAGTTTAAAAAATAAAAATCGTTTATTTATTAGATGTTTGCAATTCATATTTTTATAAAACATTAAAAATGAAATTTAAAAAAAAAATCAATTACTACACTGGGCAAATCTCTCCATTAAATCGCACATTTCTCTATAAATTTATCATCTGTTAAAAAATTTGGAAACAAAATTTTGGTTTCTGTACTTTTTATGTTTTAAGATGTTTATTATTCATCAAAAATATGAGTGGTCTCAAAATTTTCACCGGTAGTGTAATTTAAAACAACAACTTTAAAGCATTTTGGATAAGGAAAATATACATTTAGACTATACCCTATTTTCCCCCCTTTTTCAAACAAAATTGCCTCTATTCCCCCTTTTTCTTAGCAAATTTTATGCTGTGAAGCTTGAATTTATTAAACTAAGTAAAATATTAAATTATTATTATTTTTTAATTTTTTAAGATAGTACATATTTTAGAAAATAACATTATAACCTTTTGACAAATAATTTCAATTATAATAAAATAAAATATTGAAATACCTGTTCTTTGTAATCACGTTTTCGATTAGTCTTTTTGACATTTTGTACTGATTTTCCTGTACCTCTTTCACGATAACAACGTACTCTACAGCTCTTACAAACCTGATCTCCATCCTTTATTGAAGGATATAACGTTCGCAAAAATTCACTCACAGGTTCTAAATTTTGTTGTTTCTTCCAATTTGCATGAGCCGAAAATGGATTACAACAGTAGTATAATTGTTTATTATATTTTTTCATCGTGTACATAACCTTACTTTTTAACACAACATTCCAATATTATATGCTTCCTACTGCGTGTATATAAGGTTCTGCTCAGTTCTGCTCAATAACGAGAGTGACGTACTTCCAATAACGTCGCGCACAGCAATAATAGCAGATGTGACGTCTGGCTAGCAGGGTTGGTTACGTAAACTACCTAAGGTAATCTACGTAGTTTTTTACACGTAGATTATTTACATCTACAGTTTTCTACGTAATTTACATCTTGTAAATCGTCACGTGGTATTTGTCGACAGTGCAACATAACCTCAAAAGCAAACCAAGATACACTGTAAAAAAAATTTTGTGTCGATTTACACGCCGAATGTAAAATAACTTATTCAACAATGTTAATTTATTATGCTTTGTAAATTTATAACGTTAAACATTTTAATTTTACATTGCTGAACGTTGTTAATTCACACGGTTGTATAATTTTACAATGTTGGACATTGGAAAGTATGGCCATACATACTATTTTAACAAAAAAATAAACAAACAACAAAATAAACACAGAGCAGGACTACACAAGGCACACAATACAATCAAGAACACTACACAGATAGGGTTTACACAGTAAGCATGTGTTAGTATGCGCAAAAGACTAGTGCGCCTCGGGGTAGCCCGCCTAACCGTAGTGGGGTCGTCCATAAATTACGTAAGACTTTCTTCTGGTCATTTGAACCTCCCCACCCCCTATGTAAGACTTAGGGGTTTTTGGGGTCGCTGATAACGAATATGATGTCAGAATTGAAAATTCAAAATGGCGGATCCAATATGGCGGTCGAAATTTATAAATATTAATTATTTTTTGTAAAACTTGGTATCTAGGGGTTTTTGGGGTCGCTGAGTACGAATCTGAAGTCAGCTTTTTAAAATTCAAAATGGCAGATTCAATATGGTGGTCGAATCTTTAAATCGTAAAAATAAGCGTCTAAAATTTACACAAACGTAATACAAGAGTTGTTATGAAATGTTTCTATTAATTTTATTTTATTGCATTATATTTGTTTAATAAATTTTGATTATTGGGAACGGTGGTCTAGTAACAATCTAGTAACTTTGACCCATTCTCTCCCTCCATTTTGTTTTTTCTACTCTTTCTAACCTATTAGTTGAAGAGAGACAAAGAAAGAAAATGGAGGGAGAGAATGGGTCCCCACCAGATGGCGTATTGCAGTTTAGCCGATCCCAATAACCTTTTGAATTTATTAATTCTAATAGAAACTTAGTTAATAAATATACAAATTTTCAGATTAAAAATCACTTAAAATAAAAATTTTAAAATGTTGGCTTGCATATTTTAACAAAAAATTGATCGAACATTTAAATTTTCCAAATTATTTTTCAGATTTGTGATCTTCACCATTATTAGATTTGGCGTTTTTATTATTCTTATCTGACATCACTTTCGTACTTATTGTTAGAGACGCCGAAAGCCCTTAGATACCAAGTTTTATAAAAAATTAACAATTTTTATAAATTTCAACCGTCATATTGAGTCTGCCATATTGAATTTTAAAAATCTACAATCAGATTCGTACTCTGCGACCCCAAAAACCCAGAGATACGAAGTTTTATAAAAAACTAATAACATTTATAAATTTCGACCACCATATTCGATCCGCCATTTTGAATTTTGAAAACCCGACATCGAATTCGTTATCAGCGACCCCAAAAACCTTCAAGTAACAAGTTTCAAGTGAATTCGATGAACTTTTATAAATTTCGACCGCCTTATTGTATCTGCCATTTTGAATTTTAAAAATCTGACTTCATATTCGTACTCAGCGACCCTAAAAATCCCTAGATATTATCCCTAGATTACAAAAAATAATTAATATTTATAAATTTCGACCGCCATATTGGATCCGCCATTTTGAATTTTCAAAATCTGACATCATATTCGTTATCAGCGACCCCAAAAACCCCTAAGGCTGCAGTCCCATGGCAGCGTTTTGCGTTGCGTTTTGTCACTAGACCCTGAGTGTAAACATAGCAAACATATATCTGCATCTCTTTTACACTCATGGTCTAGTGACAAAACGCAACGCAAAACGCTGCCATGGGACTGCAGCCTAACCCTGGCGGATTTGATTTACCTAAATTCGACCCAGCTGGGGCGATTCTCAGTCGAATTTAGGTAATTATTAAAAAAAGCTTTAAATTGATGAAAATTTATAAAAATTAGTATTGTGAAGTTAAATGAACATTTATAGAGTTAATTTTTGTAAGAATTTTAATTATTAACGTGATAAATAATCACTTGATATGTGCAAGTGGTAACTGCCCTGGCGGATTCGATTTGCGTAATGTCTACTTAACTAAGCGGACTTTAGGTAGACATTAGGTAGACATGTAAAAAAACGTATAATAAAGCTATTAATCGACTTATTATGATAAAAAAAAGTTGATAAAAGGGTAAATGAATGTTTATAGAGTAAATTCGTACAAAATTTGTAATTAATAAAGCAATAAATAATTAATAATGAATGGAAATGTGCGCGAGGTACCTGATCAGTTCAGCTGTACAATTATTTTCGTGCTATTTTCATGAAAAGAATATAAATTAACTGCAAAAACAATTGATATTTATAAAAAAGTGTAAAATTGATTTAATTTTATTGTTTGCAATACGAATTATTAAATAATAATTAAGTTTTTATCAAATGTGAATAGTGTTGTGAAAACCTGTGAAAACTAATGAGTTACTACATTACCGATCGCATATGAGAGATGGCGCCACCAGTTTTTACAATACAGTGCGAGCTTGTTTTCTTCCAAGCTTTTGCTTTGAAAGAAAATAAAAAGTGAATTTTAAAATGCAGAATAAAGTTATACAAATAATTATTGATTTCATAATTGTTTCTCGTCCAAAATTACGGACATGATTGCAGCTTTTTTGTTACACTCATCGAGAACTTTTTATTATCATATGCGATCGGTAATGTAGTAACTCATTAGTTTTCACAGGTTTTCACAACACTATTCACATTTTATAAAAACTTAATTATTATTTAATAATTCGTATTGCAAACAATAAAATTAAATCAATTTTACACTTTTTTATAAATATCAATTGTTTTTGCAGTTAATTTATATTCTTTTCATGAAAATAGCACGAAAATAATTGTACAGCTGAACTGATCAGGTACCTCGCGCACATTTCCATTCATTATTAATTATTTATTGCTTTATTAATTACAAATTTTGTACGAATTTACTCTATAAACATTCATTTACCCTTTTATCAACTTTTTTTTATCATAATAAGTCGATTAATAGCTTTTTTATACGTTTTTTTACATGTCTACCTAATGTCTACCTAAAGTCCGCTTAGTTAAGTAGACATTACGCAAATCGAATCCGCCAGGGATATGCTTTTAAAAAATGGTGCAGATGTAAATATTGTAAATAAATATGGAGAAACACTACTTAATTTCGCCACTAGATTAAATAACATTCAGCTTGTTGATATTCTTTTAAAAAATGGTGCAGATGTAAATATTAGAAATAGAAATGAAGAAAAACCACTTTATATCGCCACTAAGAGAGAAAACATTCAACTTGTTGATATGCTTTTAAAAAATGGTGCATATGTAAATATTGCAAATAAATATGGAGAAACACTACTTAATTTAGCCACTAAATTAAATAACATTCAGCTTATTGATATTCTTTTAAAAAATGGTGCTGATGTAAATATTGTAAATAAATATAGAGAAACGCCAATTCATTTCGCCACTAAATTAAATAACATTCAGCTTGTTGATATTCTTTTAAAATATGGTGCAGATGTAAATATTGTAAATGTATATGGAGAAACACCACTTCTCATCGCCACTAAATTAAATAACATTCAGCTTATTGATATTCTTTTAAAAAATGGTGCAGATGTAAATATTGTAAATATATATGGACAAACACCACTTCTCATCGCCACTGACAGTGCAAACATTCAACTTGTTGATATTCTTTTAAAAAATGGTGCAGATGTAAATATTGTAAATAAATATGGAGCTACACCTCTTCATTTTGCTACTAAAAAACGGAACATTGAAATAGTTGAAAATTTTTTAAAAAATGATGCCGATGTAAATACTGTAAATGATTATGGAGAAACACCACTTTACATCGCTTTTACAGAGGGGAACCTTCACCTAATTAATATTCTTTTACAAAATAGTGCTAAGCTAAATGGACAAGATAAATTTAGAAAAATAATTCTACTAGCTGCTGAGAAAAATGATATTGAACTTCTAGAAATTCTTTTCAAACATGCTGCCAAAATTTATCAACCTGAAAAAACTTATGAAGAACGAACAAATAAAGAACATTTAATGACAGCTCTTCATTTTGCCGCTAGAAATGGAAATTTGAAAATAGTTAAATTATTAATGACGAATGGATTTGACAGAATTGACGCTATAAACGAAATGGGTGAAACTCCCTTGGATTTGTCAATACAATCTAATTGTTTAAATGTTGTAAAACACTTGATAGAAAACGGCGCAAAAATAAGAAGTAAACCTGTCCTTGAAGAAGCACTTCACTTTGGCAATTTAGAAGTTTGGAAATATTTATTAATATGCAATTCAACAATAATTGCAAAAACATGTCCATGTGATTCTGAACTTCATTTAGCTGTGCGTGCCGGTCAAGTCGAAATTGTTGAAGAAATCATAGAAAAAGAAGCGAGTAAAGTAAAATCTTACGGATCGGCAGTTTATATTGCTGTTGAAAATGGAAAGGAAGAAATTCTGAAAATTCTACTAACAGCGGGTTTTTCAATTGAAAATTTTCTTGGAATAAATCCTCTTCATGTGGCAGCAACATTCGAGCATACACGATTAGTAGAATTGCTCTTGAAATTTGGTGCCAAGATTAATTTACAAACAGATGAACATAAAATCACCCCATTGGATTTTGCAGCAGCTGCAGGTCATGCAAATATGGTAAAATTTCTTTTAGATGTCGGTGCTAATCCAATGGTAAACAGGATTTCGGATTTGACTTCACTTCATTATGCACTACACAGATTACCAGACAATGCTAATGAAACGTGTGTTACTGCTTTAATGTTTCAAAATTTGTTAAAAATTACAGAAATTTTATTAATCGCCGGAGTTAATAAAATCGACAAAGATAATTATAAAAAATTAATAATAAATGCCATTAAATTAACAGTTTCTAGCGATGATGAACAGAATTTATCTTGTTTTAACTCAAAAGAAATATCAAAGGAAGGGAATATAAATGACGAGAAAAATAATGAAAAAGGAGAATTTCGTCCCGAAATTATTAGATGCCTGCTGAATTATTTAAAAGAAAATAAAGTCAATCGTGTGTTAGATAATTTGTCATATTGCAACCCAGAAATTAGTTCAAAAATTGCAAATGTTATTATGGAATACTATGATTACAGAAATATATCTCTTTCGAGCACAAATTATTGGATAACTGTACACGTGATCGATCAAATTGAGGATATCCATTATCTTTTGAACTTAAGACGCTCTGCTGAAATCAATATTTTAAAGATGTATGTTGCGCGACTAGAGCTACTTCCTTGCGATCAACAAGCGGAGAAAAAGAAAGTCAATTTTTATAATAACTTCTCCGTATTCCTCGATTGGCGAAATGAATGTCAAAAACAGTTAATAAATATGCAAAAAACAAAAATTATCGACGAATCAAATGTGACTTTTTACGATATTTTAATAAAATCTATTAAGAAAGTTTCAATTAAAATAAGAAACGAGAGATTATTAAATAGCTTAGAATTATCGATCGAGAAATTTCCAATTTATGCTGACTTTTTTAAGATACGTGTTAGTAAAGGTAAACAAAGAAATGAATTAATTGATATGTGCGTAAATGGTATGTTTCGTCTTATTGAAAAGAATTATAAAATTACATTTTCTTCTGAAGGAATCGAAGAAATTTTACAATATCTTTCAGTAATTGAACTTCGAAAATTATCAATGGCGTGTTCTTCATTATTTTCGTGAGAAAAAAAGTGGAAATTTTAATTCTTTTTTTTTTTTTAATTTGTCGTATTTACTACTTATATTTATGTACTCGAAATTATATTTAAGAAATTAAAAATAACGCTTTAATTTACCCACCTTCGAAAAAGGTGACAAAAATTTAAAAAAAAATGGAAAATATTTCGTTGAAAATGACTAAATAATCTTTTATAATTTAAATAATGTTACAATAAAATTGAATTTAAGAATTTTCTGTATTATTAGAATAATAAAATTATCATAACATATTTATTTTTTTTCATCTTACCTTAAAAAATTTAAGTCATAAACCTTTTAGCCTCATAAAAAAAAATTAATTAATTATATAATAATAATAAAATGCTTGGTCTGTCCTTCTCTCCTAACTTGAAGTTGGCCTTTTCTGATTTCACGTGTTTTTTTGAATAGTAATCTTATGACGTGTCGAATTTTGACAATTCTTTTTCTCATTTTGCTTCCTCGTGGAGGAAGCTATGTAGTCCTTTCGTTTATAAAATTTTTAAAAATGGTGAAAACAAATTTTCCTCTATATAGAAACATGTTATATGAGATCCTGATCAATTGTCCGGATGTATGTATGTGTGTGTGTATGTATGTGTGTGTGTGTGTGTGTGTGTGTGTGTGTGTGTGTGTGTGTGTGTGTGTGTGTGTGGATAGTTTTTGTGAACACGATATCTTTAACAGGTTTTAATGGATTTGGGTAAAATTTGGTAGGCTTATTTAACACATTAATCTCTCAAAAATGACGAGAGGATTTTTAAAAATACCCAAAAAAAAAAATTTTATCGTCTTTTTTCCAAAATTTTTTTTTTAATTGAAAAAATGTTTAAATAGAAAAATTTAAGGTAATATATAATATAATCGTCTTCTTTATGTCAAGATGAATCGATTGATATATATAAAGTATAGATTTGATTGAAATTTAAAGAATTAATGAATAAGTTAAAAAATCAAAAATTCTCATTTTAGCTAAAAAATGATGTGTTTGATTAAATTTGAAACAAATCAATTAGTATATAGAAAGTATACATTTGAATAAAATTAAAAAAATTAATGAAATTTAAGAAATAAAAAATTTACGTTTTAGCTAAAAAATTGTGTTTTTATTTAAATTCAAGTTTAAACATAAAATAATTGTATTCCTTGCATTGAAACGAATCGACTGGTATGTATAAAGTATACATTTGCGTTAAATTAAAACAATTAATGAAAGTTAAAAAATAAAAAATTTACATTTTAACAAAGAAATTTTGTGTTTATTTAAATTCATGTTCAAAAATAAAATAATTGTATTCCTTTTTTTAAACTTTCATTAACTCTTTCAATTTAAATAATAATAATAATAATTTAAATATATATCATACATACCAATCGATTTATTATAATGCAAGGAATGCAATAATTTTATGTTTAAACTTGAATTTAAACAAACACAATTTTTTTATGTATATTAATTTCAGTGTTACTGCTTCCTCCATGAGGAAGCAAATTTTTTGCATCATATAATGAGGAAGCAAAATGTTCATGAAATGAACATAAAGGACACCCTACTTGTTTTCCAAAGTTGTATAATTGTGTTTCCAAATTTCGGAATAAGTTTCTTTAAAATTCCAAATTCCAAAATTCAATTCACGAAGCTGAAGTACACAACGTTTACCAACGAAATTTTTTTTAAAGTTGTATATTGATTCAAAAATAGTATACAAATACAAAAAATTTATGATGAGAAAAAAGATGCGCCAGGAAATTTCGTACAAGATAGTAATTTGAAAAAAATTAATTTTTAAGGTACCAGGGGCCAACGAATACCTATTAAATATTAATTATAAAAACACAGGCCTCGAATCAACTTAAAGACACAAAAAAAGTCGTTTTAGTCGATTTATATTCCAAAAAAAAGTGGATTTGTTTTTTATTTTAACAAAAATATTTTACAGATTTTTAAATAAAAATTGTTTTTTTTTTAATAATAATCCTTTTCGAAGGGTTAAAGTTGAAATTTTTAGAAATAATTAAATTTCAAAAGATATTGTTAATTTTCAAACAATTATTAAATTTTACAGAACTAAAAATAATTTATCAAACAATTTTTGGAAAATATACTTTTTAAATTTAATTGAATTTTCAAAGATTTAAAATTGAGATTTTTAAAATTAATTGAAACTTTAAGTGTTTTGTAATTAAAATTTTAGATGATTTCACTAAAAATTTATTAGAAAACGCGCACAAAATACAATAATTTGAAAATCATTTTTAATTGAAAAATGGTTTCAGATACTTGAAATTTCAAAGAATATTATTAAAATAGTTAAAAATAATTGAATTTCCTTAGAGTTATAATTGAAATTATTAAATTTAAAAAAAAAAAATTTTCGATGGAAAATTTTAGAAATAATTAAATTTTAGATGCTTTTAAATTCAAATTATTGAAAATTCAATTAATTTTGAATTCAAATTTTTGAGAATAATGAAATTTTATTTGATTTTAAATTTGGAAAATAATTGAATTTCAATTCATTTTGAATTGAAAATTTTGGGAAATAATTGAATTTTATTTCATTTTAAATTGAAAACTTGGTAAATAATTAAATTTTAAATTGAAAATTTTGGATAATTATTGAATTTTAATTGATTTTAAATTAAAATTTCTTGTAATAATAATTGAATTTTAGTTTATTTTGAATTGAAATTTTTAAAAAATAATTCAATTTTATTGTGATATTTTTTTTTAAATTATAAACAATTGTTAAATTTCATAAAAATTTTAATTGAAAAAATAATTTTGATATAATTGAATTTGTGATGTATTTAATTAAAATTATTAAAAATAATTAATTTAGTGAAGAATCATTTTAGTTCAAAATTTGTTAAAAAATTGAATTGAAGAAGATCTGAAGAAGATCTACATTTTATACTAAAAAAATGTATTTTATTTACATTTTTTTTCAAATGTAAAAAAAATGTCGCATTTTATTAAAATAAGTCGATAAAAGTCGTATTTTTGAAAAAAGTCGGAAAAAGTCGTATAATCCGAGGCCTGTAAACATATAATTTTCATTATTATCATTTAATATGTAATAATATTCTAATAAATTAAATTATTATTGATAATATTAATCTTTAATTTCTTTATAACAAACAATCAAATACTCAATTTGGCGCGCTTGCGCGCGTTTAATATTTTGCCAGTTATAATCTAAAGTAATACTCGCACTTACCCTATTAATTTTTTATTAATATTTAAATATTAATAACAATAACTATTATAGTTTATTAAGTAGTTTATTTTTGTTTCCATATAGTTAGGTATAAAGGGTATAAAGGAATTTCTACAATAGATGCAAAAGCCAAATCCAATTTCCATTCATCAATGTATAGAAAAAAAAATTGGACTTGCACTTAGCTTTTGCACTTATTCTGGAACCACCTTAACTGCGACGTTACTGTATTTATCGGAGTTGTCGTTCAGTATCCATGGATACTGAACATATGACTTTCTGTACAGAGAAATCATTTAATAAAAATAATATATTTAGTTGCATGCTAAACATTTTAAAGATTTTAAAGAAACATTTATTAAAAGGCGATTGAATACTTATGTTTAAAAATTATAATGAAACTAATATGGAGAGTAAAATTATAAGTAATAACTGTAAAGAAAATACTAAGCATCGTACTATTTATCAGGAGGATAATAAAGAAAAAGAACTTTGGGACAACGAAATCTCCAACGAAGAAGAATCCTTATGTTCTAATACAATTTCGCCACTTGAGGTGTGATTTTATTTAATAATTTATTTGACAAAAGAATAATCATAATCTTTTCATATTTTTGATTGAGTATCCTGTGTTTATCATAATTAAATTATAATCAATAACTTTCAATTGATTAATTAATTTTTTTTTAGTCAAAAATGACAAACGAAATAACTAGATCTTTGTCTATGGAATTTTCTTCTTTTTCTCTATATGAAAACAACATGTTAAATACAAGAATAATACCACAAAGAAATATCATGAAACTGTACTATAAGAATGAAATGGAACTAGTTTCTATAAGAAAGAAACAATGCGAATTCAAGAGAGCTAATAAGACATTTACAATTGAAGAACTTATGAAAATAGATCGTGAGAATCGAATTTTAATGCAAAAGATATTAAACATCAAAACACCACAAAGCAAAATAAAACCACATTACCTTCAAAAGACGTATAGTTGTTCTGCTATTAATAGAAAAAAGATTCAAAGAAAAATTGAGGAAGACAACATGGTAAATATTATATTTTATTCCGTGGGGATTCTTTCCCTCACAGCACCTGAAACTTTTCTAAAGATTTCTTCAAAGATTTATTTGAAATGTTCGAAATATTTAATTGCAATGTTTAGTGAAAATTGGGTAAAGATTTAAATGTCCCGATTAAATAAATGTTCAGGAAAGTTTCGCTCTAAACATTTATTCAATCTTTACACAGTTTTCACTAAACATTGCAATTAAATATTCCAAACATTTCAAATAAATCTTTAGGAAATTTTTAGGAAAGTTTCGATGCTGTTGGGATAGTCTGAAATTATACATGCGATTCCGGAATCCTAAATAAGAAACCCCTCGTTCCATCCTAACAAATTAAAATTTTTGTTTATTTTATATAATGTGTTATAGCCAACTTCTCTTTTTTGGTAAATTTTTAATTTTAATAAATTTGTAGTTTGTGAGCAGCTGTACTGTTGAAAGGTTATAAAAATAATATTGTGTTTTTTTCTTTTTCTTTTCTTAATTCAGAATAATCGTTATATATTAAAATTTTATTATTTTTAAATTATCATGCATAGTTATAACATCAATTTATTTTAAATATCTCTATGTTTATTTATCAGACTTGCGAAATCTGATTTTTAATTCTAGTCATAATAGCACATATATAACTAATTTTTAACTAATTTTAATTTATTCTGACGCCATTTTTCTTCATATTATATTCTTCTTTGTACGTTATGCTTACGATTGAGTCTTGCCCGTATTATTTTATAAATAAATAAATAAACATTTTAGTTATTCCATTTCTCTCAATTTATACAGTATTTTATATTTCAGATATTATTAAAAAAAATACAACAAGCAAGACCACACGTGATACAATATTCAAACTTGAAAAATTAAAGATTACAATGAACCTCAACTTTAAGAGATAATATTTAATATTTACAGTGTAAAACATTTGAGTTAAATATAATAAATAAAAAGAAAAAAGATTTTTTGCTGCATTGTCAGTAAAATAAAAACAATTTATACGCCCTAATAACACAAGATATATTGGGATATATTGATAATATCCCGCAGATATCCTAGGGATGTCCTATGGATATCAAAAGGATCTCTTAAGGATATCCAAAAAATCGGCGGTTTGGATATCCTTTGGATATCCACAGGATATCTTCTGGATATCTCTATAGACTTTCATAAATGTCCTCCAGATATCCCATAGATATCGTCAGGATATCCCACAGATATTTTCAGGATATTCTCAGTATATCTTCTGGATGTTAAGAAGATATTCTCAGGATACTGTTTTTAAAGTCATTATGAGACTACGAGTGAGAATATTCTGTGAATTAAATTTTATATAAATAAAATAAAATGCAACTTGTTTTTCGAGAAAAAGTTGTTTAATTTGAAAAATTATTAACTAATTTTTTTCTCATTCGTGATTCATTCCTTTATTCATATGCTTAATATTGTCAGAAAATAAATTGGCTTTAGACAATATAAATTCTTCCCCGCAAATAACGAATAACTATTAATATTAATTATACATTAAGTGCATGAGTTTATTTAAAAACTTTGAAAAATGCGTTTCAAATCTTCATTTAAAATAAATTAGAAGCTCAGAAGATTTTTGTTTTTATTATATTATTATTCATTATATTAGCTTAACAATTTTAACCTTTAAAAATATATGTTGAGATATTAAATATCCCGTGAATATCCTAAGAATATCCCACGGACATCCTGAGGATATCCTGCGATATAATATCCAATAGATACTTTGTGGATATCCATAGGATATCCTAGGGATATCCTATGAATATCCCAAGATATCCTGAGGGATATTCTAGAATATCGACCATTGATATGGATATCCTAGGGATATCCTTTTGTTATGAGGGCGAACATTGAATAATTAATAATAATAATAATAATAAATAATAAATAATAATAATTAATTATTAATAATTAATTATAATTATAATCAAATATTATTAAGTGGTTTTTGAAATTTTTTGTAATATTACTGTAATATTACCATGAAGGGGACATTTTAATATTACAGTAATATTACGTGCTACTGTGGAATGAGTACTCCAAATTCTTGATTATTCAAGAAGTTAGTTTCTCATCACTAGGAATTTGATATTATTAAAGTTCGACAAAGTAGAAATTCTGTTAAAAAATAATGCTATGAAATAAAAATTTTTAGATATGAATTTTTGGTTTAATATAAAGTCTACTTTATAAAATTTTTCCAAATAAAAATTCTTTTATTTATAATTCGACGTCACAAAAATTGTTATAAGTTTTCTATTGGTAGAATAATAATCACGCTTATCTTTTCTTATCTATTCTGTATTTACATTTAATATTTACAATTAATATTTACATATTTTTTTTTTAAATATTTGCATATATATATATATATATATATATATATTTATTTTCCTAATTAATATTTAATTCAACTATTTTTTTATGGACGCATGAATAAGTTTTAAAAATCAATTGTTAGAATTTTCAATTATTTCATAAAATTGAATTTCCATTGAGCCGAATTTTTATTTGTTCAAATTATTATTATTTTGTAGAATTTTCATTGAAACGATTTTCTATATTACAGAATTTTTAAATAACCGAAACTTAATTTCAAAAAAAATTGTATTACTACAGAGATTTTACTTAACCGAAAAATCATTTAACAGAAATCCTAATTGATAGAATTTTCATTTGTCCAAAGTTCCAAATGACCGAACAAACTCTATCGACAGAAATATTGAAATACTGTTAAATAATAATTCGAATGAATAAAAATTCATATCAAAGAAAATTCTATGCATTATAAAATTATACCTAATAAAAATTCATATTTTTTATGAAAAATTAAAAATTTTAAATTCAATTCTATTACATTAAATGAAAGTTTGAGTGAATTTTCGGTTATATAAAAATTTTTTAATGCAAAAAATTGGTTTAATGAAAATTTTGCAAAATAATAATATGAATAAATAAAAATTCTGTTTTTTGGAAATTTTATAAATGCGTCCCGTTTTTAACCAAAGTAGCACGTAATATTACTGTAACATTAGACGCTTATTCGAAATATACATAAAAATTTCAAAGTTTTTTATGATAAAGCAGAAAAAAAGTAATAATTAATCAGTCAATTATTTTTATGTGGTTTTTGAAATTTTTTTTAATATTACTGTAATGTTGACATGAGGCCGACATTTTAATATTACGTGCTTCATGGAAATATGCAATTAACAAGAAAACATAATTTCAATTCTAACGAATTGATTCAACATTTTCTTATATTTACTTTATGATATATGGAATACTTTTTGTTGGCTGAAAATTAGTTTTTATTGTTAATACAGGGTGTCTAACGGTCAGGGAAAGTCAGGGAAAAGACAGGGAATTTTGTTGGTCAGGATAATGTCAGGCAATTTCAGAAAATTTCATTCAAAATAAGGGAAATTTCTGTAAATTTCTAATAAAAATAAAAAATTTTTGTGAATTTAAAAATTTTTTAATCTAAAAAAACTTGAATGGTTTTTATTACCATTTGTTACTACCATTAGAAATTAATTTATTGTTAAATATGTCAGTAACCATATTTTTGTCCAAAGAAAGCAGAAATAAAAAAAAAAGTTAAAAACAGGGTTGCCAGTGTTTCAACGCGCCGAACCGCGGATAGACCCCCACTAATTGTTAACTTCAAGGCTATGGTATATTGTTTAAATAATTTTTAAAACTTATTTTCAAAGTATTAATGTTTAGTACATTTATTAAGCTTTCAAAAAATATAAACATTTTTTATAAATAATAATTTGTTTTTACAAAATCTTTAAATAAATAAAACTTTGTCAAATTTCAGCCCACAAAAGTATTCGTACGCTTAAAATCTTTTAATAAAAAACGAATCTTTAAATAATAACAAACATAAACAATTTGTTAATTAATATTTTGTAGGACCTCCCTTAGCTTTAATAACACTTTGCAAGCGTTTAGGCATACTTTGTACTAACTTTAACACAGATTGTTTGTCAATATTGTTCCAAACTTGTAAAAGTTTTTCTTTCAATACTGTTTTGCTTGTTATGTCATTTTTCCTTAAGTTTCTTTCAATATCAGCCCATAAATGTTCAATGGGATTGATATCCGGACTTTGTGGAGGAGTTGACAACAAATGGGGTGTTCGATAAATCAAAAATTGTTTAACGATATTCGCCGTATGTTTCGGGTCATTGTCTTGTTGAAAGTAATAATTGTCACTCACTTTTAATTTTTCAGCACTTGAAGGCAAATGTTGCTTCAAAATGTTTAAATAAACATTTTTGTCCATAATACCATCGATGAAAACTAGATCACCGACACCTTCAGCACCCATCACCATTACAGAACCACCTCCGTGTTTCACAGTCGCTTCGAGATTTTTTAACTCCAGTTCAGTATTTGGTTTCCGCCATACATATCGACATCCATCTGAACCAAACAAGTTAAATTTACTCTCATCTGAAAAAATCACACTGTTCCAGAAGTGTAAATTTAACTTGTTTGGTTCAGATGGATGTCGATATGTATGGCGGAAACCAAATACTGAACTGGAGTTAAAAAATCTCGAAGCGACTGTGAAACACGGAGGTGGTTCTGTAATGGTGATGGGTGCTGAAGGTGTCGGTGATCTAGTTTTCATCGATGGTATTATGGACAAAAATGTTTATTTAAACATTTTGAAGCAACATTTGCCTTCAAGTGCTGAAAAATTAAAAGTGAGTGACAATTATTACTTTCAACAAGACAATGACCCGAAACATACGGCGAATATCGTTAAACAATTTTTGATTTATCGAACACCCCATTTGTTGTCAACTCCTCCACAAAGTCCGGATATCAATCCCATTGAACATTTATGGGCTGATATTGAAAGAAACTTAAGGAAAAATGACATAACAAGCAAAACAGTATTGAAAGAAAAACTTTTACAAGTTTGGAACAATATTGACAAACAATCTGTGTTAAAGTTAGTACAAAGTATGCCTAAACGCTTGCAAAGTGTTATTAAAGCTAAGGGAGGTCCTACAAAATATTAATTAACAAATTGTTTATGTTTGTTATTATTTAAAGATTCGTTTTTTATTAAAAGATTTTAAGCGTACGAATACTTTTGTGGGCTGAAATTTGACAAAGTTTTATTTATTTAAAGATTTTGTAAAAACAAATTATTATTTATAAAAAATGTTTATATTTTTTGAAAGCTTAATAAATGTACTAAACATTAATACTTTGAAAATAAGTTTTAAAAATTATTTAAACAATATACCATAGCCTTGAAGTTAACAATTAGTGGGGTACGAATACTTATGGGAGCCACTGTAGCCCAAAAACCGCAGGAAGCTTCAAATATTTACAAATTTATAAAAAATTTGTAAATAATTTTTTTTTAATAACAATTTTATATATATATATGAAAAAATAGATGTAAGACTAATTTAAAAGTTACTTTTTTTATTTCTTTTTATTATTATGCTAATAAAATTTTTATTTTTATATATTAAATAACTTTAATATAATATATATTAAATAACTTTAATATACAGGTATCGCAGGTATTAAAATTTTTCAATAAAAACTGAAACAACATTTTAACATGAACAGGAACGTAAATTTAGAAAAACGTAGCACTGGGAACCGATGAACACTTTTCGAAGTGATTTTCAAACAAATCCACTACAAGGCGCCAATTGACAGTTTTCATACTTTTAATGATTTACTATTCGATTTTCTAGTATTGTTAAAAAAAATGTCCTAGTAGCCCAAAAAAGCAATTTTATAAGAAAAAATAGCCCAAATTGCTACTTGTAGCGAAACTGAAATTTAAGCCGCGAAACATTCCCAAAAAATAGCCCAAATCGCGCTTTGTAGCCCAATCTGGCAACACTGGTTAAAAAGTTAAAATTAAAAAGTCAGAGAAAAATCAAAAAATGTCGTGGAGGAGTCAGGAAAAAGTCAAGGAATTTTTTTCGACACCCTCTAATAAGGAGGAAGAAAAACTACTTGTTGTTGATTTGGACTTTTGGCCTGCTGATAATGATAATCTTGTTGTTGATTTTGATATGTTTCATTCTGTTCACATTTAATGTTCTTTTCGTCGATTTTCGGAAGAGATGTCAATCTGTCATAACCGGATTTGCATGTGGCTCTTGTCTTTGGACATTTATGTTTTGATATACATAAAGCAAACTCTAGATCACATTCGCATAATTGTTGCTTATATGGATCGTTCTTAAAGTCTGAAAAATATAATTTTCCATATTATCAAAATTAAAAACAGAAGAAAATGAAAGAAAATTTTCTTTTTTAGATTTAAAAAAATTTATTAAAGAAAAAAAATTTGATTAAAAATTTATTTTTCTGATTAAAAATTTTAATTAGAAAATGTAGGTGGTAGTAATATATTTTTTTAATTTTCCAAGTATCAATGCCATTATTGTTTGTTTTTTTTTAAATTTTAATGTCATTGTAATTATAAACTTTTGTAATTAAATATAATGAAACTTTTCCTAACTCACCACAAACTGGTAAACGATTTTTAGAACACGTCCATTCGTAATGCTTGCAGTAAATAAACCACGGATTCATTTGTCTTTCATAACAATCATCGTGTTCCTTACAGCATCTGTAAATTTATCAATAAAATGTTATATTTATTTTTTTACATATTTACTTTCAAAAGAAATCCAAAATTTATAAATCTTTTTTTAATAATAAAAAAAAATTTATTTTTACTAATTAAGCATAATTAATTATTCATAAAATTGTTAATATCAATTATTGTAATTTTATGCTCCTAAAACTGACTGGATGCAAAAGAAATTGGTAAATAAAAAAAAAATTATTATTTGGTTTCATTTTTTGTTAATTCTCAAATTTTGAAATGAAGTTATTTTATTTTTTTGTTATAAATGAAAAAATTTTCTTTTTCATACGTATCAATTTTATCCACAGGTACTCCAGAACCACCAAATCCACAAAAACAACCATAACCATAGTACGACATAGCACCACAGTCATTGGCACAGTTCATCATATTCCGTAAATTCCAGAATGCCCTTTTGGATCGGCTATGCCTAAATGTTGAAAATAATTTTTTATTCAAATTTTATACTTTTTAATTCTTGAAAAACGAGAAATATTTTTCGAGCTTGTTAAATATTCAAAAGACTTTGTTCCTTTGGTTTAAGGCCAGGTCCAAGTGAGGCAGCGCCATCTACATTGAAACTAAAATTTTGGAAAATTTTCAACAGCCTTTTCTTGAAAACAAGATGGTAAAATACTTTTTCCTTTATGGATAATTGATTACACAGACCTACAAATTTTAGACCCAGAAATCGGAATAGTCATTTCCCATGTAATTTTTCACGCTGAATCCAAAAATGACAGCGAAACTGCTCTATCACGTCCGAATTTCGAGATATTCTAACCTAAAAGCGTGAAAAAGGCCGGTTTTGGCAACATTCAATCATCTATAAAATCTCCAAAAAAATTTTTTAAGCGTTGGTTCAAATTTCTAAAGAAAGTACTACTATTTGCCTTTTAAAATTTTCTTGGCCCGTTCAAATCCGATTTTTTTTCACTCAGATACAACCATTTAAATTTTGCGTTACACGACCTGAAAACCCTAAAAAAAGGAAAACTAAGTACTTAAATTGAAACTTTTTACTCGGGGGATTTCGAGGTAGCTGATTACGATAACGATGCCAGATTTTCGAAAAAATGGCGGATCCAATACGGCTGCTATCAGAATCGTCATCAAAGATCTAAAATACTCCCAAGTTACGCGATTTTCAAGCGAATCAGTTGAATTTAAAAAAATATCCGCCATATTGAATCCGAAATTTTTAATTTCGAAAATCTGACATTAAAATTGCAATCAGCGACCCCAAAAACCCCCCTAGTAATGAGTTTTAGTTGAACCCTGGCGGATTCGATTTGCGTAATGTCTACTTAACTAAGTGGACTTTAGGTAGACATTAGGTAAACATGTAAAAAAACGTATAAAAAAGCTATTAATCGACTTATTATGATAAAAAAAAGTTGATAAAAGGGTAAATGAATGTTTATAGAGTAAATTCGTACAAAATTTGTAATTAATAAAGCATTAAATAATTAATAATGAATGGAAATGTGCGCGCCCTACCGAAAGAGTGGTACTGGATTGGTACTGGGAAATTGGAACTGAGGGCTCAGTACCAACTCAGTACTAATTTGGTGCATTTTGGTACTGAAATGGAACTGGGAAATTTACCTGCGAAAAGGGTCGAGTTACCGTTAATACCCTCATAAAAGTGAAAAGCGACTAGCTTTTTCAATATGTTTAAACTAAAACTTTATATTTATTTCAATATTATATTTGTTTTTCATGGATTTATATTATTTTCATACATTATTATGCATATGATATTTCCTTTGTCAGCTAAATTCAAAAATGATGTCCATTTTTTTATCAAACTTAAGGTATACGAGATAAATTATAACTTTTTTAAATGTAATTATTTTATGATAAATTTTAGATATTCATAATCTGGAAATATTAACGAATCTGAATATATATTTTTTAAAGTTGAGTTATTAAAATTACAAATTTTTTAAGCAATAAAACTCGGGTTAAAATTTTAATCCTTCAACAAAGGACCTAGGGGTCTATTGTTCAAGGAGGGATTGCAATATAATTTCCAAACTTAACAGAAATTTTCTACAAACTATTATGTTTTTTTTTTGCTGTTTTACACGTATATCGTGAGAGACGGTTTGTTGATCTTATATACCTTTAAAACTATTGTTAAAGTACTTTAAAAATGTCTTCTTATGGGTTATCAGGTAGTGGTACTGAAGTGGAACTCAAGCCAAGTCCAATTCAGTACCATTCCAGTACCACTCTTTCGGTAGGGCGAGGTACCTGATCAGTTCAGCTGTACAATTATTTTCGTGCTATTTTCATGAAATAATATAAATTAACGGCAAAAACAATTGATATTTATAAAAAAGTGTAAAATTAATTTAATTTGAGTGTTTGCAATACGAATTATTAAATAATAATTAAGTTTTTATCAAATGTGAATAGTGTTGTGAAAACCTGTGAAAACTAATGAGTTACTACATTACCGATCGCATATGATAATAAAAAGTTCTCGATGAGTGTAACAAAAAAGCTGCAATTTAACCAAGTACATAATTTCCGAGATTGCCAGAGATGGCGCCACCAGTTTTTACAATACAGTGCGAGCATGTTTTCTTCCAAGCTTTTGCTTTGAAAGAAAATAAAAAGTGAATTTTAAAATTCAGAATAAAGTTATACAAATAATTATTGATTTCATAATTGTTTCTCGTCCAAAATTACGGACATGATTGCAGCTTTTTTGTTACACTCATCGAGAACTTTTTATTATCATATGCGATCGGTAATGTAGTAACTCATTAGTTTTCACAGGTTTTCACAACACTATTCACATTTGATAAAAACTTAATTATTATTTAATAATTCGTATTGCAAACACTCAAATTAAATTAATTTTACACTCTTTTATAAATATCAATTGTTTTTGCCGTTAATTTATATTATTTCATGAAAATAGCACGAAAATAATTGTACAGCTGAACTGATCAGGTACCTCGCGCACATTTCCATTCATTATTAATTATTTAATGCTTTATTAATTACAAATTTTGTACGAATTTACTCTATAAACATTCATTTACCCTTTTATCAACTTTTTTTTATCATAATAAGTCGATTAATAGCTTTTTTATACGTTTTTTTACATGTTTACCTAATGTCTACCTAAAGTCCACTTAGTTAAGTAGACATTACGCAAATCGAATCCACCAGGGAAGATCTTTGCAATTTTATTTTTCCTTTTTTAAAAAGTTTTTAGGTCGTGTTGTAACGTAAAACTCAAATGGCTGTATCTCAGTGAAAAGAAATCGGATCGGAACGGGCCAAGAAAATTTTGAAAGGTGAATAGTAGTACTTTCTTTAAAAATTTTGACCAATGTTTAAAAAATTTTTTTGAAGATTTTATAGATGGTTGAATGTTGCCAAAAACGGTCTTTTTCACGCTTTCAGGTTAGAATATCTCAAAATCCTGACGTGATAGACCAATTTCGCTGTCATTTTTGGATTCAGCGTGAAAAATTACATGAAAAATGACTAGTCCGGATTCTGGGTCTGACAAAATCGAAAATTTTGTAGGCCTGTGTTATTGGCAAGATATACACCAGCTAAAAATTTTTTTGAGTTAAAATAATAAAAAAAATTTCATGTCAATAAATTAAATATGAGCACTTTTTTCACAAAAACTGTAACAGTACTTTCTCAGAAATTACAATCAAAAATGCAATTTCCATTTGGAAAATTAATAAACGCTAAAAAATACACGACCTAAGATTTTCCAATCACGAAAATAACAAAAAAAAAGTATTTTAACATAACATATTTTACTCATTATGACAGCCGTTTGGCAGGTTATATATGTCACCAGACGTTTCGCAGTTTTGCCAAAAGGAGGAGATTGGCGCTGTTGCTAACCACCTGAAATACATAATCTACCAAAGGGCTGTCACAATCAGTAAAGCAGTATCAATATGTTAAATATTTAATAAAATTTTTTTTTGTTATTTTCGTGATTGGAAAATCTTAGGTCGTGTATTTTTTAGCGTTTATTAATTTTCCAAATGGAAATTGCATTTTTGATTGTAATTTCTGAGAAAGTACTGTTACAGTTTTTGTGAAAAAAGTGCTCATATTTAATTTATTGACATGAAATTTTTTTTATTATTTTAACTCAAAAAAAGTTTTAGCTGGTGTATATCTTGCCAATAATTAATTATCCATAAAGGAAAAAGTATTTTACCATCTTGTTTTTAAGAAAAGGCTGTTGAAAATTTTCCAAAATTTTAGTATCAATGTAGATGGCGCTGCCTCACTTGGACCTGGCCTTAATTAATAAAAATTTCTTTTGTTACAAAAAAAAAATTGGTTGAAACTTCGGTTGCACTATCTTATATTTATTTAATTAAATAATAAATTAATTTTTTTGCTTTCTCATAGAATAAAATATATTGTGTTGGTGAAAAAGATTCCAGTAGTCTAAAAAAAAATCTGAACTTACACTATGGTTCCATTTTGATTTATTCTCTGTTCATAATCACCATCTGTAATTGTTGACAAGATTATTATTAGTAAAAATTTTAAAATCTTGTTTTATTTATTTATTTGGGACGCAAAATATTCTCCACATTAAAGTTGTCAATTCTTTTTGTTGTGTTGAATTAAAAATTATTAAATTTTTATTTAGTAGAATTTTATAAAGTAGATTTTATAATGAAACGAATTTTCATATCGAAGAATTTCTAATTAACTAAATTCTGATTTAATAGAATTTCCATTTTTTGACATAATTGTATGTATGAAAAAATTTTCAACTCTAATATTTTCGTTGTTGATAAATTATTTTTTTCTCTCATTTTTTAGGACCTCTTCTAAATTATTGAAATTTACAAAAAAAAAATAATGTTTGAAAATCTTAGAATTTTTATATTTTAAAAATTAAAAAATTTTAAAACCCTTAACTGTAAAAAAGTAGATAAAAAATTGTTTATAAAAAATATTAAAAATTGTGGATGAAGTTGAGTTTTAAAGAAATCAGTAGTAAAATTTAAAATTATTAAAATTTAATTTGTTGAAGGATGTTAATTTCTTTTGACATTTTTTTGGAATTCTAAACCATATTTCATTATAAAAAATTGAAAGAAGTATTTTTTGGCCATTTTATATGAAAAAAAGTTGAAAAAAATTATCAACTAAACAATAGTTTTTTCATTTTTTCAAAATATATTATAATATTTAAATACTCAATATTATCGGAAAATATTTTTCATAAAATAAAAAGTCGATAATATTTCATTTGACAATACAAAAATTTCGAAAGGTCTAATTTGGGAAATACTTATTAAAATAAATTATGTAAATGTAAAACTACAAGTTTAAGTACTTCATTATTAATAAAAATTAATTGAAAATTATTGAAAAATTATTATTAAAAAAATTTCCCTCATTTCATTTATAAGGTATAAAATTTTTTCAAAAATGAAATGTAAATTCTTATTGAACTAATTTAGTTTATTTTAAGCTAAAAATATCGAGTCTCGTTGGAAGTGTTTACATTCGTTTAAAGCAGGTTACATTTGAATGTATTATTTCTCAATAAATTTATATTGTCTGATGTAATGTAGACATACATTGAACTTGAAATATAATCAAATTAAATTACTACACCTGTTCTCAAAAGATAAAAAATACTTGAATTTTTTGTATAATTCAGAATGAATAATATAAATAATTATAATTATTAATAATAATTAATTATAGTACTTTTTTTGAATTATAATAATTATAATACAAATATAAATTTTAAACAAATTTTTCAATCAAAATGTTTAATTGTTAGTGAAAATATTTCTTTGTTGAATAATTTAACAATTTGGTCAGAGCTTTCAATTTTTTTTTTTTTTGAATAAATAAATGTAATGAAAAATTTAAATTCATTCATAATACTTATACAAAGGAATAAATTTATTATAAATTAATTATATATTTTCAAACAATTTAAAAAAATTGTCCTTACCATTTTCTAGTATCCGTCCTTTGACCTCATTAAAATTTGTAAATGTTGCAAAAATTACAAGAAACAGAACAATCCTTAAGTTCAACATTTTTTTATCTATTATAAAAAATTTAGAATTTAATTTTTACACACAAAGAATTTAAAAATTTTTACTTTTGAATTTGTTAATTTGTAAATTTCAAAATTGAGTTTGATATATTGCTAATGTGGAACACCACTATATATATATATGATCTATTGGTAAAAAAATTAACGAAAAATCATCTTTACGAAATTTGTTTAAGCTGTCAAATTATTTGCTTTTGACTAGTTGACGTTATACTTTTTTCCTGGTTCATGCATTAATTTCCTGACTTTTCTTATATCTGTGTAAATAAATTTCTCGAGTAATTTATTCATATATATATATATATTTAAAACATCAGGAAATTGGTTTAATTAAATTCAATTGATCAATAGAAAATTTAACATATAACTATACTTGATTATTTATATGCAATCTTCTTCCGCATTTATATTAAATTAAATAATTTTGCGTTCAGTGAACCGTTTAACATTTTTCTTCTCTATTTTAAAAATGAAAAAAAAATTTCAAGTTTTTAAATTTGCACCTTTAAAATTAGCCTTCTTTTGAAATATTAATAAAAGAATTTTTTTTTTTGAATCAATTTTAATTTTGCAATTTTTAGTAAAAAAAACATATTTTTTGTAAACAATTTTTTAGTTAATTTTTTGCAATTTATTGTTTTTTTGCAAAATTTTGATTAGAAACCTATAATATTGTACCTAATTTTAAATATCACTCAAATCAATTGTTATTTACTGAAGGATCTCCTATTATATTAGGTAAGTTAACAAATTTTCAATATCCTTTCTGAAAATCTTATTTATTATTACCTACTGTTTTTTTTCTTTTTTTATAAGTTCAAAAATTTTTGGGACTTATGCAGAAAATGTTAAATTTTTATATATATTTATTTTAATTTTTTTTTTTTTATTAATCTAAGAACAGTAAAACAGAAGTTTATACCTATGTGATATTAAAATACAAAAAAAATACTTTTTTGAATGTATTTTTGCCAAGAGAAAAAAAAGTTCCAGTTTTTCATTGACTTTTGAAATGTAAACGAAAAAAAATTTTGACTTTTTATTATTTTATATATAAAATATAACCATTTAAAGTATAATTTTTTAAAATTTAACATTATAAGAACTATTTTTATAAACTCATAATTATATCTAAACCATAATCTTAATGCGTCCCAATTCAATTAGGTATTTATTATTTTTAAATATTTCCATTTTCTGAAATTTGATGAATTTTTACAAAACTCGCTCTGCAGAAGAAAAAGAAAGAAACTCGCCTTCCCATATTGGATCCGTCAGTTTGAATTTTCGAAAACTAAAATGAAATTTATAATCAGCGACCCCAAAAACCTCCTAGTGACAAGTTTCTAGCAAATTCGATCAATTTTTTTAAATTTCATCCGCCATATTGGATTCGTCATTTTGATTTTTTAAAATCTGATTTCAGATTTGTAATAAACAGCCAAAAATATTAAAGAAACCATTTTTTTTGACAGATATTGATTCGGACAAAAAAAAAATTTTTATGCTAATTCTGTCTAATAAAAATTTGAGTAAATAATAATTTTATCAAATTTCAATTCGATGAAGTAAAAAGTCTGTAATATGAATATTCGTTTAAGAAAAAATTCTGTAATATAGAAATTCGGTTAATTGGAATTTCTGTTAAATCATAATTCGAAGAAATTAAAATTCTGCTAAGATTAAAATTAAGATAATAAAAATTTAATTAATTGAAAATTCTGATAAATTAATATTAGAGCTCCTAAATCTCAATTTAAAAGAAAAAACTTTTTTGCTTTTTTTTATAGAAACAAAATTGTAAGAAATTTTTATGTAAAGATAGTAATTTGAATATTGGCAAGAGTGATTTTTAAGAGACAAAGCGCCATCTATATATTTTGGCGGGATTAATAACTAATATAGGCGGGAAGAAAGCGATAAAGATTGGCGGGCAAGAATTTCTAGTCAGTTGTAGATTGATTGTCAAAAATCCCGGATCTTGATCCGTTTGTTCCGTCCGACCGTCATTATTATATTTGAGAACATTTCAATAAATGTGTTATATCAAGTTACAAAGCAGTTTATATTTTATTTGTCTTTTAAGAAGAACGTTTTTATTTATTTAGTAAACACCTTATAACTATCAGAAGTGGGATTACTTTAAGAATTGTTCAAGAACGCGAACGTTTCTTGAAAAGCCGCCATTAACACGTGGATCGGAAAGACCGGGTAGGCGTCATTATTTTGTAGCTGTGTGCTTCATAACTTTGCTGAGTGCCTTTTGTGAGTTTGTTGCTGAGTGCACAAACTGCATATTTCTTTTGTGGTGACGCTGTGTGCCTAATCGGAAATTGTCTGTGTGATAACCGAGACTTGCTGTGTGCAAAAAGTTAAATTCGCTGTGCCGGCGAATGATCAGTGGCTGAGTGCATTATAGTGATCATTGTGGTAAAGAAAACGCTGTGTGCAAAAACGACACTTGTACGGTGTGCGACTTGTGCCGTTTGGAAATTCGTGTTGCTGTGCGCGCACCTGAAATTCCTAAAATCTTATAGTGATAAGACTAACGTCTTGTATTTTGTTGATTTGAGTTCAAGATGGACGAGAATCATGGAAACAAATTTACAGTTGTCCAACTGAAAGTGGCATTACAACGTAGGGGGCTTCCGACTGCCGGGAATAAAGCTGATTTAATCCTGAGATTGGAATCCTTGGGAGGGAACATTTGGCAACAGGTGGCAGAAGAAACCATTGTTCCAGGGGAAGATCCGCTTCCGGAAGATTCCATCTCCGGTAGCGAAGGTTCCCGACGTGATGGCGAGGCTTCACGAGGTAATTGCGCAGAGGGAGACGGAACTAATCGTCACTTAGAGTCGACGAATGGCCAATCATCAGACATTGATCTAATGCGCAGGGAAATCGAACTTTTGAGGAGAGAGAGAGATATTGCGCAGAGAGAGACGGAACTTATGCGAAACGGGAGGGAGTTGTCACATGGATCGATAAGATCACAGAGTTCCCAGATTCGAGGAATGAGTATAAGGACAATTAGTGAAATGCTCAGTGAATTTGATGGAACTGGCGAATTTTGGAAGTGGGAGCAACAATTACGCTTGATTCGAGAAACATATGAGTTGGATGATAATAATACTAAACTGTTGATGATGTCAAAAATAAAAGGAAAAGCCCAAAGTTGGTTTCAGTCTAAACCTGAACATGTTTCTGCTTCATTTCAAACTCTCATCGAGAAAATGAGAAACATGTTTGATCAACGTGAAACAAAACTAGAATTACGTCGTGAATTTGAATCAAGGAAATGGAAAGCTGGAGAATCGTTTCAGGGATACTTTCATGAAAAACTAATACTCGGTGGAAAAGTGCCTGTGCCGGACGATGAAATGGTTGATTACGTGTTTGACGGAATCACTGATTCG